ATTCAAGTTCCTAACTAAACTCTGTGTGATGCAAGGATTCCAGCCAATTTCTACTACATGGGATCCAAAGCATTCCTGTAACAGGGAGTCTCAGGGTCCCTCCTAGGCAGGGACTGTGCCCCTCATCAGCATGGAGGACCTATAGAAAACAGAGGCTGGGGAGGAGACTCAACAGTTAGAAGCACTTGTAGCAAAGGACCTGGATTTCCTTCCTAGCATCTACCACTCACAACCATTTGTAACTCCAATTCCAGATAATCTGATCCCCTCTTCTGGCCTCTTCAGGCACCAGAAATGCAGAAATGCAAATGCATATACACAGGCAAAACATTTATGTACATAAATTTTAAAAAATTTCTCTCTCTCTCTCTCTCTCTCTCTCTCTCTCTCTCTCTCTCTCACACACACACACACACAGATCATTATCATTTAGCACTGCCAGGTGGTGGTGGCGCACATCTTTAACCCCAGCATTTGGGAGGCAGAGGCAGGCAGATCTCTGTGAGTTTGAGGACAGCCTGGTCTACAGAGGGAGTTCCAGGACAGCCAGGGCTGTTACACAGAGAAACCCTGTCTCGGAAAACAAAACAAACAAACAAACAAATAAAAAAGATGCCAGAACTGGAAACACTCCCTGTCAAGGCAAACATGTGTCACATGTGCAAAAAGCTTACTGACTAAACTAATTGTCATCAGAGAGCCTTTATCCAGTAACTGATGGAAGCAAATTCAGAGATCCACAGCTAAGTATTGGGCCGAGCTACAGGAGTCCTCCTGAAGAAAGGGAGGAGGGTTTGCACAAGCCAGGAGGATCATGATGAAGGAACCCACAGAGACTGCTGTCCTGAGCTTGTGGAAGCACATGGACTCTGAACCAACAGTTAGGGAGCCTGCATGGGACCGACCTAGGCCTTCTGTATGTGTGTGACAGTTGTGTAGTTTGGTCTGTTTGTAAGGCAGAGAGATCAGGACCTGTCCCTGGCACCTAGCAGGCTTTTGGGAACCCCTTCCCCATGCTTGATTACCTCGCCCAGCCTTTTTGCAGGGGGAGGAGCTCCATTCTATTTCAACTTGATGTGCCCTACCTTGTTCCAGCCCAAGAGAGGCCTGCCTCTTTCTGAATGGAAACTGGGGAGGGGGGGCGTAAATGGGAGTTGGGGGAGGGAATGGGAAGAAAGGAGGGGGAGGGGAGGCTGTGGTTAGTATGTAAAATAAAGGAAAAAAGAAAAATGTATTTTAATAAAGTAAAAAAAAAGTATCAGATCTTACAAAGGTTCCAGCCTGTGGGGTGCAGGCACCACTGAGTGGCTGACCCCCCACCCCCACCCCCACCCCGCTCTAGCCCATTTCTTCCCTGGCAAGTGCTTTCTGATGGACCAATTCTTCTACCACTGTCCTCATGTCACCATCCAGTTTCTTGTTATAGGACACAAGAACTGGAAATCCCAGCAGCCACCCACTGGACCGCAGTATTCACTGTAACAGGGAGATGGACTAGATGCTTAAGGTCATCCTTAGCGACACAGTAAATATGAGGTCATCCTGGGCTGTATGAGACCTTCTCCCTCTACCCTCCCTCCAAAAAACCCCATAGCAATCTAAATGGCCCTCTACACATATTGTTGACCCTTCCCTTAATAGTCATGCAAATGAGATTGTCAAGCATTGACAGGAGACCATCTCTCAGGAAAGGTGATCTCCCTAAAGACACGTTAAGGAGATGGGACATTGATTACCTCTTGATACATGTATACCCCAGAAGCCCTTCTGTGATAGAATTGTTACAGAATCATTTTAAATCTTTATTCTTTTATTTATTGTGTGTGCATGTGGAGGTTAGAAGACAGTTTCAACTGAAGTTTTTTTTTTCCTTTCACCATGGGGGACCTGAGGATAGATGTAGGCTATTAGACTTGGCACAGGTGCTTTACCTGTGAGCCATCTTGCTGGCCCTAGATCCTTACTTCTAAGTCTCCCTGCTTAAAAGGGTCAATTTAGGGCTGGAGAGATGGCTCAGTGGTTAAAAGTGCATATAGATCTTGCAGAGGACCTACGGTCTCAAGCCCCTACATGACAGCTGCCAGTAACTCCAGCTCCAGGGGGAATATGACACGTTTGGCTTCTGTGGGTAGCTTTACTCATACACATAAATACTATTAAAAAAAAAAGTTTTTTTTTTGTTTGTTTGTTTTTTGTTTTTCAAGGCAGGGTTTCTCTGTGTAACAGCCCTGGCTTCTGAAACTCCCTCTGTAGACCAGGCTGGCCTCCAACTCAGGAGATCAGCCAGTCTCTCTCTGCCTCCAAAGTGCTGAGATTAAAAGCTTGTGCCACCTGACTAAAAAGTTTTTTGTTTTTTTAAAATGTTTAACTTTTGGGGCAAGGGAGATGGCTGTGTAAGCATAAGGACCTAAGTTGGGATCCTCAGCACCCACATAGAAGCAGGGCACAGTGGCATATGTCTAAACCAAGTTGTGGGATTCGGGAACAGAGATAGGTGGGCTATTCCTGCAGCCTGATGGCCAGCCATTCTCAATGAAAGAGTGAGTTCCAGGCTCAGTAAAGGACCCTGTCTCAAGAAATAGATAGTGATAGAAGACTCCCACATCAACCTCTGAGATCCACATGCATGGGTAGAAATATACTGTGTGCACATGCATACACAAAAGTGTAGCTTTTCCTTTTATCTATTTGGGTACCAACCAAACTCTTAAGCCTGCATTCTCTCTCTTTCATTTTTTCTTTGTTTGTTTTTGAGATAGGATCTCTCTATGTAGCCCAGGCTGTCCTGGAACTGGCTGTGTTGACTAAGCTGGTCTTGAACCCACAGAGATGTACCTGCCTCTGCTTCCCAAGTGCTGGGATTCAAGACGTGCACTACCATGCCTAGCCTCATCCGTTCTTTCTAAAAGCTACCCATTCATGCAGCTGCTTGCAGACTTTGCTGTAAAGCACACCTGCTTTACTTGTAACTCAAACAGTGACTTTGTCTTACCCACACTCCCAGCAGTTGCAGGGGCCCAGCGCTTACTCGCAAACTCCAATCAAATGGTCCTCAAACTTTCTCCTGAGTCTGTTTTATCTTATCTTTTCAAGACAGGATTTTTCTATATAGCCCTGGCTGTCCTGGAACTTGCTCTGGAGACCAGGCTGACCTCAAACTCACCACCTGACCCATTTTAAATTACTTTTATTTGTGAGGCTGCATACCTGCAAAAGGGACCCCGATTTCCTGAGAACAATGAGGGAGGAAAGACAGGAGAGGAGGTGGAGGCTCAACCAGCTGTGTTGAGCGGGGGAAGGCCAAGAAAGCATGGATTGAACAGGTGATTGTTTTGCACCATGTGGCACCAGGAGATGTTTGGTGAAGACACTGATGGGTGAGAGACCCGTGCCTGGGAAAGTAAGTCACAGAAAAGAGGTGGACAAAGATAGCTTGGGCACTTCTAGTTGAAGGGACACAGGGTAAAGGACACTTGGGAACACAGCCAACAGGAGCCTTTGGAAGCTAGGGGAGGCCTGAGGAAAGCAGCCCCTCTCATGCTGCTCTAGGAGGGGGTGCAGGTAGATGTGGGCTATTAGGGAGGTATTTCAAATTGGGACTGAGGCAAGAGAGAAAAGGAGTGAGGACCAGGGCAGTGAGAGGATATCTCATTCCTTAGATGATCATATGAGCCTGGGTTTTCTGTTGAAGGATGGCTGGAATGACAGCTAAAGGGATCAGGGTAGTTGGTCCCACCCCAAAGGCACAATGAACTGCCATGTCACCTTATTCTAGGTGTACATAGGTGGGCATTCCTTACACTTGGAGGCTTAGGCTGTAGGACCAGAATGGCTTGAGCACCACAGCCCAGGACAGGGAAGATAGAGAGGGAGAACATCTAGCACATAAGCATATAGCTAGTCCAGGAATCAAGCCAGATTTAAGTCAGAACTGTCCTCGACCCAGCTTCCTGCCTTTCCCACACCCATGCTGGAAGAAAAGAACAGTCCTGGACGTGGTTACTGCCCAGTAAGATCATGGCCTGAGCATCCTCTCCTAGGATGGAGGCTTTCCCACAGTTGAGTAGGGAACACCACTGCCCTTGGACCCTTGGAGAAAGGAGACAAGCAAACAGCTACATTTTTACCTGTCCTGGTGTGCCGCTGTTGCCAAGGAGTCACACAGGCACCATGCCCATCTCACAGAAGACAGTGAAGCTCAGGGTAGCCAGGGAGTCAAGGCCAAGGCAGCCCTTTTGTCACCCCTTCTCTGCAATGTCAGGGGCCAGTGGCAGAACCCCAAAGACCCAGAGTCCCTTACCTGGGGTCCTGTGGCTGGCTCCCAACCAGCATGCTGTTCATTGGGGGTCCTATGTCTGTCTCCACAGGGCTGGGTAGAGGCTCAGGCTGCCACATTGACTGCCTGGGGCCAATGTATATTTAATGACATCTATTATTCCTGGTTTGTCTCTGGAAAGCATGAGCAGCTGACAAGGGGGCAGGAACAGCCTGGAGAGCAGCAGGCTGGGCTGCAGGCGGCTCCACATGCTAGTGTGGCTCTGTCTTAGAGCACTCTCCCTTCCTGATGATTGCACAGAAATTGTGCAACGCACCCCAAAGCTCCTCTTCTCAGGCAGCCAAGAGCACTTGTATGCTGTCCACAAAGAGGCACAGGACCTCGTTAGCATCAATGGATCCTCCATCCTAGCTTGAGTATCAGCCTCCCTGTACTCAGAGACGCCTTTTTGCTATTCCAAATCTCACGGGCTTCCTAAGGATGCTATCTACTTGCAGCCAAGCCTGGCATCTAGGGGAGTCATGGGGGCTGGGGGGGGGCACCCACAGCCTCTGGGAACCCTTCCTGGGCTGGGTAGAGTCTGCCTTCCCCTGATCACCCAGCCCAGGCCAGTTCCTCATAGGCCCAAGCTATACCCACTTCCCACTCACGGCCAGGTTCACTACTACCCCACCCTCACTGGGCCAAGCAACAGAAATACAAGCTGCCCTGGTCTGGGCAGGAATCACTTCCCATTCTTTTATTTCAGAAAGGAGGGCAGAGATAGGGGGCTCAGAAGGAAACAGAGCCAGACTCACAGGCCCCATCTAGGCAGGCAGGGCTACTCTGGGAGGGGCTCTAAGCGGGAGGCACTTTACGACACTTTGGCTGGGCCCTGGCTTCCACGAGGCACAGCCTGTGTTGGGAGGACCTGTGGGAGGTTTCATCCTGAGGCTGCTAAGTGCTAGAGCTGCTGTCAGGACTCTCAGCCTCAGGGACCCAGGCAGGCCTACCCGGAGCCTGGCTCAGCTTGAGGTCTGGCTGGGAGGATGTGGGTAACTAGCTCCTCAAGAGCTCACATGGGCACAGGACACGGACACAGGCTGTAGGCTCCCTAGGAAGCTTATCACAATAGGCTTATAGGATATGTCCTCAGCAAAGCCCTGGTCCACAGCCTTGCCTGTCCCAACACTGCTTACTGAGGAAGCTTATGAAACAGCTGACTCAAGAGTCCATTCCTGGAGTATATACTTTTCCGGTTTGTGTGTCCCCGGGGGTCCAGGTCCCTAGGAGCCAAGCAAGCAGGCTGGTGGTGTGACTATTTCTTCACAATCTGGATGACATCCTCATGCTCCATGGTGTGAGTCAGGCCTACCCGCTGTGGGCTGTACTTGGTGCTGGTACCCTGATGGAAGAGTGCAGAGGGGACATGTCAGCCTCTGGATGACCAGGGCGGCGGGAAGAGAGCAGGGTGTGTGGGGAGGAGGTGAATGCCAGGGAAATTAGAGGCTCCTGCAGCACAAACCCTGTGGGCCTCCACCGTGAAGAATCCCATTTAGTCTTGGAGGTGGAGAGACCTACTTCCAACTCAGGTTACTCATGGGGTAGGACAGATACACTTGAGGGTTCCCATGCAGAAAGGCAGGGATGTTGTCAAGGATGCTGTGCTGAGCCTAACCCTGGGGCTACTGGGTCCAACCTCCCATCCAGCTCCTGCCCAGACTCACCCACACCAAGGCATACTTGAACTGGCTGGCCAGGGACCGGTGGATGCGATGGCACTAGGAGACAGGAAAGTCAGGGAGATGAGGTCCTGTGACTGGGCCAGAGCTTGGCTGTACACAAAAGCTGGGGCTTATGGTGAGCGACCATCCCACATGAGGCGCTTTGACAGCCCAGGCCATGAGTAAAGGCAGACCATAGGCCCCACAAGCAGGAGCCCTTGCTCCACCCCACCCTTGCCCAGCTCTAAGTAGATTTGAAATCATACCCAGGGACACTTCTGCCCTTTGCCCATCTTTCCTGGACAACTAGACAAATGCTCCCTTAGAAAAGGTCAGGAAGGGTTTCAGAATACATTGAGGATCTGAGTCCTAACTGCTTGGCCACTGACTTTCAAGCCCCCTGACTCCAGCTATGGCCTAAGAGCATCTTGCATACCACATCCCATTCCTCTCCTGGGCCCAGCCTAGATCCCTCAAGTGCTGTGGGGTGGGATGAAGGCCACAGGAAGACCCTGAGAGGCACTGGCAGTTGCTCCAGAATATGGACCCCTGGTTGCCATGGGGAGGCGATAGTGGAGGTGGCTGTGAATGGACTATGCAGTGTCATCCCTCTCCCCATAAGCTCATAAATCTTATAGCCCCAGGCCTGCAAGAGCATTTCCTGAACAGATGTGGTAAGTCAACCGACTGAGGGGGTGACTGTTAGTAACAAACATAACCAATTCTAACTCCCCTATCTCAAGGACAGAGCGTGAACACTGAGGGCACAGAGGTCAGCTCTGACCTACAAATGGGTTTTAAGCTCAATTTGGTCTGCTCATCATCAAAAAACAAAAACAAAACAAAGAATGCCATCAGCACTGTAAAAGCATAGTTCTATCACCCCGCCATCAGCACTGTAAAAGCATAGTTCTATCATCCCGCCATCAGCACTGTAAAAGCATAGTTCTATCACCCCTCATATGCACTGGAACCCTGGCAGGACAGCCAGTGCTCCTCCTCTGTCATTTGTCACAAGCACTGCTATGCTGTATCTGACAGAAAGGACACTTCTAGCAGGCCCATTCACCACAGGGTCACCAGGGGCCTTTTTCATGAGACCGGCACTTCCCTGTAATCCCTAAGAAAAATGTGTGGCTGGCCAGTTGTGGCTCACGCCTTTAATTCCAGCACTCTGGAGGCAGAGGCAGGAGGATCTCTGTGACTTGGAGGCCAACCTGGTCTACAGAGTGAGTTCTAGGGCAGCCGAGCCACACAGAGAAACCCTGTCTGGAAAAAGCAAAAACAAAACAAGTGTGCCAGAAATGGGAAAGACATGCCTCATAGTCTTCTGCTCCGGGGATCCTTGCCTCTCACGGACAGGGCCACCACAGCTCACCCACAGGGCCAGGGCAGGTGTATCACAAAGGCTCTAGGGGTCTGTCATCCCCAGAAGAGGCACAAGATAAAGAGTTGGGAGTGCTGAAGGTTTGGCTGACTCTTCTGGTCTCAGCCAGCACCCAAGCTGTAATGCATGCCTCAGGGTAGGGACAGGCTTCTTCCTCACAAGGAAGACTTTTTTTGGGACAAAGTTCAGGCTCTGAGCAAAGGTTTCTCCCACCCCAATGGCCCTTTTCTCCTTTGAGTGCCTGAGGCCTGTGCATTTGATCCTGGGCCTTCACATCTGCTTTTCCCGATAGACACCACACCCTTCTCTTGCTGGCTGCCCCTCCTACCATATATGGTGAGAGCAGAGCATGCTCTTCCAGAAGGGCCAGCATCTGTGTCTTGAGCTCTCAGCACTACAGTCATGGCTTCAGGAGAGACTGGAGTAAGTGCTCTCATCCCTCCTCAGCCCATGACTATGAAACCTGGGCCTAGAAGAAGAGGTGACTAGCCTGGCTGTGTGTCCAAGTGCCACAAGGCTGGTACCCTGCTGGCTCAGGCTAGACTTGCCAAATGAAAGGCTGTATGAGAGTGGATGCAGGCCTGTCTAACACTGTCTTTCTGATGGAATGAAGGAATGGCTGGTTCCTGGTCTCCAGAGACCAGATCCAGAGAAATAATAGGGCTAGAGGAAAATAAAACCAAAGAAAAGAACTCAGGAACATGGTTGCGTGGCTGAAGCTACTTAGGGTGTGTCAGGCAGCAATTCCAATAGGAAAGGCACCTAAACCTAGAACCTGTGATGTTCCTTTCAAGATTGTACTCAGTCTTAGTTTGGACTCCAGGGCAACTCAGCCTATGCCCTCCAAAATTCTTCCTGAACTACATGTGAGCATGCCACAGACCATACACAACTGCTGAGCTCTGGGGACAGGGGTCTGACATCTGCTCATTTCTGGTAAGACCAGGGCTACCATCTTTGATGTTCAATGAATGCATGCTATGGCAGGAAGCAGCCAAGGCCATCCTGGACTTAGGCAGTTGGGGAACAAGGGAACAAGGCAGAATAGCTAGGCCCCAGGGGGTGGCAGCTCTGAGCAATGGCTGGGCTACCAGGTGCGAGGGAAGAAACTGGTTGAAAAGCCTTTCTCAGGCTAAGCTCCATATATACTGAGGAAACTGGAATATGAACAGCAAGGGTAAAGGGTGACAAACTCTCCACTGACAACCAAAACACCCTGTAGCATCAGATGCAGAGACAATGGCCCCTTCCAGGCCAGCTGAGCCTTATGTGACCTTAGCCACCATGCAGTTGTTACCCCACCTTATAGGACAGGAAATGAGACCCCACCCCCACGGCCCATCTTATTGGAGGAACCTATCTCAGTGTCCAGTAACAAGGCAAAGCAAGGCAAACCAGCCTTACCCATTCTCTCCCTACCCTGGCTGGAACAGACAGCTCAGAGGCCTCATTATTCTGTCCATTCAGGTAGGCTTCAACTTACCACGTGTTCAACAGAGGCCCCTTTCCGGAGAATGATGGCATCTGTAAAATCTGGTCTCTCTGTAGGGAGATGGAGACATGTCAACCAGTCTTTGCCTGTGCTGGACGAGGCTTCTTTACAATGGGGCACTGGCTACAGAGACCCTTTCCAACTCCCAAGCCCTAGCCTTGCTCCTCGCTATTTGACACACCTTCAGCATGGAACCTTGTGCTATATACTCTGTCTGTCACCCATTACAGAACCCAGAGAGGAGCCATCGGAATAGGCGGGATGGCTGAATGGGTAGGGAGTGAGTATAGGTGGGAAGCTACAGCTCTTCCTAGCTTACAAGGGCAGGGTCACCACAAAGTGCCCCAAGTTCAGGTAACCCAGGCCATGTGAGCACATGTGTACCAGGGATGAAGGCAGAGAAAGGAAGCCTGCTACTGTGGAGGGGAAGCAAGACAACAAGACTGCTGCTGTGTCCAGTGGAGACCTGGCGCAGCTTCCAGACCAGCTGCCCCACAGCTAGCATCTCTGCCACATGGGCTTAGGCCAAGCTCCTCTGCGTGGAGAGACAGGGCTTGCTCTAACAAACTGTCATGGAGATCTCTGGGTGGCACAAGCAGGATGGTAGCCCTGGGAAAGTTCGGGGAGGCTCAGCCGTTTCTGAGCTGCCATCCTCAACTCACGTCCTCTCTTCTTGGTGTAAATGCAGGTGAGGGCCAGGTACTCCCAAAGCATTTCCAGCAGGTAGTCCAGGTTCAGCTTCATGCCGCAGCTGCAGGGAAGATAGTGTCAGACAGGCAGGGCCCTGAGGCTCAGTGGTCACAGTCTCAACTGCTGGAGAGCACTGCCAAGGCCAGTGTGACCCTACCATCACCACTAAGAACAAGCAGGCTATCACGATGGCAGCTGTGCCTTTGGTTACCCTGCATCATGAATAACAGAGCTTAGTATCCCGCGCCACCCCCACCCATCTTCGTGTTATAGGGAATCCATGGTATCTGTTATAGGGACAGAGGGGCTGCATTGAGACTGTGGGCATGCTCACCCTTCCCTAAAGAAAACAGATGGGTTGCTAAAGGCCCAGGACCGCTCATAGGCATTTCAGAATACTGAGGGGAGAACCCAGGTTTTGGGACAGCCAGGCCTAGGTAGCCTCGAGTGCTATGCTAAATATAAGCAGGGAGAGGTGTCCACCTCCCATACCAAGGATGAGTATGTCCTAGGCAGCCAAAGTATCTAGGGTGCAATAGGAGAGATGCTGCCCTTTGAAGTACCTGCAGGGTCTAGGAGGCGACCCTCAGCCGTCACCTGCTCCCACAGGTCAGGCCATTGGGGAGCCATCAGAATACTTGGTTTGATCAAGGAAGGAAAAAACAGCAGAAGACTTAGTATAACTCCCTTGAAAAGGAGCCCCCTACATGGTGGCATTGGGAAATGAGCCAGTGACTGTTAGCCAGAATCATCTGTGGCCCACACCCACTCAATAAAGGAGGGCAGGGAGTGGTGGCTAAGGTGGACTTCACCCATCCTGACAGCACACATCTCCCAAGGTGCCTACACAGGTGGTCATGCCCAGCTTTCTGGGAACTGTACTCACTACAAAGCTTTATAACCCATTAGTTTTGGTATTGTTTTTCAAGCAGAGCCTGCCAAACATGACAGAACACTGTCTCCAGCTATGACGGGAGCCCTACCTGCAATTCCTAGGCTTTGAACTCTCCCTGGAGAGGGGATGCTAGGTTATGTGAACTCACACAAGCTAGAGGGTATATATAGCTCTCTTCTGAGCTGAGGTGGCCAGTCAGCGGGCCTCTCTTCAGTGACTAGAACACTCAGAAAGAACGGACATGTGGTGCACGCCTTCAATCTCTGCACCAGGGAGGCAGAGGCAGGAAGACCTCTGTGAGTTTAAGACCAGCCTGGTCTACACAGTGAGCTCCAAGACATTCAGGGCTACACAGAGACTGTTTCAAGACAAACTAGCAACCAACACTCAAGAAAGGAGAAAAGAGTGGCAGAGCCATGTCCTTACCTGATAACTACACTGTTGGGCTTTCGGGCTAGACGGTCTACTTCTTCCATGGAGATCTGGTCAATTTTGTTATACACCTGAGATTGGAGGTAGGCAGTGGAGGGACAGTGAGGCCAGGGACAGGGCTTCAAATGCGAACACCTGCCACGGGCCTACTCTCCTCAATGCCTCTGGTTAGAAGAGACCCCGCCTCACCCCCACTCTCACCCCCGCCCCATCAAAGGGAAGGGCTAGGTAAGCTGGAACCCTGTTTTCAAGCTCTCCATGCCTCTAAGATTCCAATAGCCACTGAGGCAGACTATTGAGGTGTGAGGTGGCTGAGAGCAGTGGTAAGTAACTATCTGGGTCACTGTAGTGTAAGAGATGCCCTCAGAGAAGAAGCCATGTGGCCGGACCAGGGTGTCCCTTCCTCATAGGTAGCCTGGGCCACCACACCACTTACATACAGGCAGGGCATATACACCCGGTTGCCCACAATCACATCAATGAATTCATCAGGAGAGCAGTCTTCTCGGAAGAGTACTTCGGCATTGAAGATCTCTGAGTAGCTCAGATTAAGGACAATCTGTGTACTGGCATTCCCGTGTCTTTTAGTGGTGACCACGCAGTAAAATGTACTGGCCAAAAGGACCTGGTCACAATCTGCTTGTGAAGTTCTACAAACTCTGAAACCTCTCATTTCCATTCCCTAAACTACAAAATATGAAAAGCATATCAACAGTTGACTTCAGCTCTGGCTGCCCATTAGTGAAATAGTCCCTGGAAGCCCACGCTATTGTCCAGGAGTACCATGGGAAAGCTAGTAGTACCATCTGGCCCCTGCTTGGCCTGACTCATTGGTATCTCTTGCCTCAGGGGAGCTGGCCCACTTTCTAGCACCCTCTAACAGGTGCACACCTAATCCCTGCTTCTTCTCCAACCCAGAGACCCCCTAATTCTCAGGACAGTTTCCCAGAACACTCTGTCTTTCTTCTAGATGTCACCTGGTCACTTGAACATCCAATGAGGAGTAGGAAGCCAGCTGCCAAGTGTGTGGCTGGGCCTGAGTCCTGACCACTGCCGCCAGCCAGGCTAGGAGGCCTCCCCTGGAAGGATACTGTACTCATGCAGGATGAGCTGTACCAACTTCTCTGAGCACTGTGTCAATGTGACTGTGGAGTTAAAGGAGATGCCACCACCTTTCTTGGGCTGAATAAGAGAGAGACAGGGAAAGGCGCTGATAAAAGAGCAGCAATGTCACTGCCCATCCCTTGCTGAGGGCCAGGCATGCCCCAAGCTGCCCCTAGGGAGTGTGGGTATACCTTGAAGTAGATGTTGGGCTTGTGCTTGTTGAGGCGAATGCCCACAGACTCCAGTTCCTTCTCCAGCAGGGACCTAGGCAAAGCCTGAGCCTTCAGAGGCTGTTTCCAAGCAAACCACACAGCTTCCCCAAGGTTCAGGCAGCACCGCTTGCATAGAAAGAAGCCAGCTCCCTCCCCTAGCCCCTTTCCTAGCAACCCAACAGCCCAAACTTGTGGTGTAGCTTCTAAAGTAGAGGCTAGACTTTGCCTTCATGGGTGCCTGAAAGAAGGAGCAGAACCCCCAGGGGTCTACTGCTAGAGGCAGGCTGGTGTGTCCCTCTTGACAGCATGAGTGGACAATAACCAAGGCTAGGCTGTGTCCCTTGTACCCGAGCCTAAGATCCCCAGTCATAGGTGGACACCAGAGAGGACATCTAGGTCTGGTAGTGTTACATTAGATACAGAACACTTGAGCCAGTGACACATGGGGCTATCACTGGCCCTGTGGGTTCCCCTGCCCTGGTGCACAGACCTCTGTACATCTCCCTTGGTGGCATCTAGCATCATGACGACGACATCAGCTGTACGTGCTACAGCAATCACCTGCCGGCCACGGCCTCGCCCTGGACAGGTAGAGGGAAGGGTATGCCTCAATAAGGGAAGAGGTAGACAACATGATTGTGCAGCCTGCAATACCTTAAGACTCCAGTCCCCCCAGACCTTCATCATTCCCGTTACAGACCACCCTGTGCTATGATTTTCCTGGCATTTGGGGAGAATCCATGAGCTGTTTATTCACAGAGGCTGGTTTTATTTATTTATGTTCTTTGAGACAGGATTCACTTATGTAGCCTAGTCTGGTCTTGAAACCATCATCTTCATGCCTCAGCCACCTAAGTGCCAGGAATACAGGTGTGTACCACCTTAGCCCTTGTGTGGAATGACAGGATGATAATGACCTTCCTCCACTTCCTGCAGTAGTCCCAGCCAGGCTTATGAACACTTGTTCATTTACTCCTTAGCACAGCTGTGAATTTGGTATGACTATGCCCATTGTAAAGATAAGGAGACTATAGCTTGGCTTGCATACATTCAACCACTTGACCAAGATCATAAAGTGAATACAGCACCAGCATCTGAATTGTAGCCTGTCATTTCTGGAAAGCAAGGGTATCAAGACTAGGGATCCAAAGGTGATCTCCATGACACCCCTCCATTTCAACACTCAGTGACAGAACTCCAACCCGACTCCCGGCCGCCTGCCCTGCTCCCACCTTGCGCGGCTCCTTCAATGATTCCAGGAAGGTCCAAGAGCTGGATGTTGGCACCTTTGTACTAGGAAGCAGAAGAGAAGGGTGAGACAAGCCTGGGCCACTGTGGCTAGGAGCCTGCCTGGACCTAGGCACCTACAATGGGCCCACAGCTGGTGTCAACTGTGGCCAAGTCTGGGCCTCATCACCTCAGCCTGGCATAGACCACCACCTAAGAGCTGGAGCTGCCTGGGATAGCCAATGAACACAGTGCTGAGTAATCAATAAATTATGTGAAGACACAAGGCTCCAACATTTGCTACCCATGCAAGCACAGCCTGAAGGCTGAACCAACCAGCCAGCAATCAGGGACCAGAGCTGGACATGTGGGGGGGGGGGGGAGAACAGAAAAGCACCAGACAGAGCTGGCATATACAGGCCGAATCTACTGGGACAAGCTAGACTTCTAGGCCAGCCAGGAACTTCTCAGGTCCCAAGAAGGGCCAGTACTGCAGGGTGTCCCCACACAGGGCAGCTCCCTCAGATGCTTACACAATGAGCACTTCACAAATGCAAAGACAAGCACACCTCTTTTAGCTAGGGCCCAGCACACTCCACTTACTTCAATGACCCCTGGGATGCACGTCAGGGTGGTGAACTCATAGGATGCAGCTTCGCTGGCTGTAGAGGTCATCAGACTCAAGAAGGTGGACTAGGAGAAAAAGAAGGCTGCTACCCTAACTTGTCTTAATTCAGACTCCTGGGCAAGTCCCTGTGGGATGAGAGCTGCCTGGGTAGACAGGGAAAGAGCTTCCTTGACCTTAGCCCCAGGACTTGAGTGAGTGTGGAGGAAAAGCTGCTTAGAGGACAGCATGGTCTGTAGCCTACAAACATGGACTGACACCAGAGGCCATGCTCTTTGGTGGTCTCACACCTTCCCAGGTGAGAGTCCTGGATTTAAGATCTCTTCACTTGTACCAGCCACCTTTCTCTGGCCCTACTGCCTAATCAAGCCACAATTCTGAGCTTGCTGCTGCTCTGGGTGTGTAAAGGGAGTTCACATGGGCAGAGCAGCTGTTCTGAGAGCAGTGGCTGCTACCACACCTAGCAAAGACACTGGAGGCTAACTCTGGGTACGTAATTGATCCTGGATCAGATGTGCCACCTTACAAGGCAGGTGGTATCTGCCACAGGACTCACTAGGGACATGGCTTTCTTTCATAGATACACTAATTAAAAATGGGGAAAAAAACTAAACAAACAAATTATGCCTGGTCCATAGCCAGCATTCAAGGGAACAGTGGCTGTTGCTTATTCCCTTCTTCAGTGCACTGTTTGTGATAAATTTAGGAGCTGGGGTCCCTAGTCCAGACCAAGATAGTGCCTGCAGGCCTGTTTTTGAACAGCCTCCTGTGTCCATCTTTGTTTTGCTTTATTATCTGTATGCCAGTAGTCCTGCTAAAAAGTAAGTCAGCACCTTGATTTTGGTTTCTATAACTATTTTTCCAAAAAAGGAAGCAGGCCTCCTTGGAGAAATGGCAGATCTTAGACTAGGGCAGGATGCAGATTAGATCAGACAAGCCTCTGGAGCCAGGCTGGGTTGGAGCCACACAACTGTGGAAGCATGCTGAAGCAAATAGTTCCAAAGCTAAGACTTCATGCAAAACAACTAAGCAGCACTTCACCAAAATATCAAGATCACTGAACTGGTCTGGCACTATGGCTCAGTGACAGGTGGCTGCTATCTCCAGCACTGAAGGGGGTTTAAAAAAAAAAAAAAAAGGCTAGGGAATTAGTTGAATCAATAAAGGTGTGGCAAACCTGAGTTTGATCCCCAGCACCCATGTAAAGAAGTCAGGTGTGGTCCTATAACCTTAGCACTAGGGGGTGGGGGGGGTGGAGGTAGGGAATCCCTGGGGTTGGGTCAGGAAGCCTAACCTACTTGGCAAGGTCCAGGCCAGTGAGAGGTCCTGTCTTAAAAAACAAGGTGGGAAACCCGAGAAATGACATCTGACATGTACAAACCTCCACATGTACAAACATACATGTGTGCACAAACACCCTCATGCACATGTACCTAAGCACACATCAACATGTATAAAATAAAACTAAAAACCAGGACCAGATATGGTGGGGCACAACTTGGGAGGCAGAGGCAGGAGGATCTCTGTGAGTTTGAGTCCAGTCTGGTCTACAGAGACAGTTTCAGGACAGCCAGGGTTACATAGTGAGAAAATGAAGCTGCCTAAAATTAGGGAGACTTGACAAGTGACTGTGATGGTGGAACCCAGCTTAGTAGGGAGAAATTAAGGAGCCCCAATCACAGTGTGGACATACTGATACATGAGTTGTAACAAGGGTGCTGTCCTTATGCAACAATGTTACCAATAAAGAAACCAGTTCTACTGACCGTGGGCACTCTCTGCAACAAAAAATTCAAGATCATTAAAAATCCAAGATCATTCTAATATTAAAAACATACTGGCTGGTGAAATGGCTTAGCAGATTAAAAAGTACCTGCCACCAAGCCTGACAACCTAAGTTCTACCATAAGGACACCAAGGATGTGGTGGATGGAGAGTATGGACTTTTAAGCTGCTCCCACCTCCAATGTGGCTTGTGTTCTCTCCCTACCCCAATAAACCTTAAAATGTACTAAAACCTTATTTACCCCAGGCAATGATGCTTTTAATCTTACTTCCCACATAAAATGTAAGTCAACATGGACACGACATTAAACTAAGCCACTTTCCAGAAGAAACTTTCTAGAAAACTCCACACACTTCCTGTGTGTCACTGGCTGAGTTGGAAGGCCAACTACTTACTCTTGCTAAGGGGTGGGAAGAGTGGCCTCTAAGTCAGGGTGACAGTGAGGTGAGGCATTGAGGGGAGATGAGGATGGTCATGGGGGTAGGTGACCCTCTATTGTTCTCCCCAAGGTCCATGTGGACCATCACTGACCTTACCCACAGAGGGAAAGCCAATCAGTGCCACTCGGGCATCACCTGACTTCATGACATCAAAGCCCTCTCCTTTAGATGAGGCAGATTTGGATGGTTCCAGGAGCTGGGCCCGATACTTGGCCAGTTTTGCTTTCAGGAGGCCCAGGTGATACTCAGTGGCTGGAGGATATAAAGCAAAGTAGAAATAAGAAGTTAGGGATGTGGACTCACATAGGGCCAAGTGGTAACTGACAACATTAAGACCAAACAACAGTCACCTCAAGGAGACCAGAAGAGCCACCCTCTGCTTCAAAGGCCCCCTTGGTATCTCTCACGGGGATCTCAGCACTCATGACAGTGGGTAAAGATCATGGGTGGGTAGCACTAATGGTAGCTGGGGCAAAAGAGAGGTTATAGGGCTGTTTCCTGCTTACTCTGATGCTTTAGTTTTTATTGGCAGCTGCCCAAAAGATTATGAGCCAATTCAGAGCAGCCAGGAAGTTCCTGGCCCCTCCATTACTTGTCACATCCCAAAGACCCCAGAGAAAACCTAGCTCAGGCTTGAAGGCCTCAGACCCACCCTGCTCCCTATGGACACTGGACATTTTCTGTGGTGCTAGAATTCCATGGATGCATCACTGTGTGCAGGAAAGGGATACTGTAGCATACACAAATTCACTGTGCTGAGATGCACCTCGGAGAGGATCCAGGAGGCCACACAGCCTCCTGGATTAGTGTGTCCATCTCTGTATCTCCAGGCAGAATGTGGCTATCGTGTGCCTTGTTCTGACTTCCTGCCAGCACCCAGCATTCATGATAGGAAAACATATTTTTTTTTTCACTGTAAATGCCTCTCCTTTTCTTCCTCCTTTGTAGGATTATTAGGGTCCCATATTGTTTTCAAATTCTGGAGGGAAATGGGTCACATTACTGAGAAGGAATTCTATTTCAGGTGCTACAAAAGCTTCATAACAAAGGGGATATGACTGAGACTGAGAGCTAAGACCTCACCTGTTCTGCCTGCCTTCTTCCACCCATCTCTGACCATCTAGTGCTCCCCAGTACATTACAGAACTGAACAAACTGCTCGTCCTTGCCTCAGGACCTATGAACCTGTTGTTGCCTGAATCTCAATCAGATCAATTCCACCCTGCCATTACTGGCTGGCAAAGTCACACTTAGTCTTGTGCATCAGTTTATTATCTGCAAAACAGGAATAACAGCAGTACTAATTCCCTTATCATATTTCTGCAAAGACTCAGAAAAGCACCCAAGAACACTGCAATCCCACCTCCCTCTCTCCACTGATCTCCAACCCTTAGAGTTTTGAGGTTCAGATTTGATGCTTCCTTAATGCTGTCTAATTGGGATTGTTTATTTTAAATATTAAAGAGCAGAGGGTGATCCCCATCTAGAGATTAGGACATCGGGTCTCTGAAATTTTGATGACATGACTTTAAAAGGTTTCATAGCAAGTACGTGGTGGACAAACTCTCTAGTGCCTAGTTCCTCGACATTACCTCGCTGGCGCCTGCCTGTCTGCCTGGGTAAGTTGTTTAGTGGGAGGTTTTCTTGCCCTTCTCTGCATGAAGGCCCAGCTGCTAGGAGCCTAGGGCAAAATCCCCAGCATTGCCTTTCTGGGTCGGTCTCATTGTGTGCGCTGAGATTTCCCTACTCAGTCCAGCACTGACCAGGTACGTCTGTCAAGAACCTGAAACCACATTGCGGCATAGCCTCACTCCCGCCTCAAGCACGCCTAGGCACTTTTCTGGCGTTTCTCCGGCCTCCGAAGTGTCTCCAGTTGCTCCCTCATTTTACAGACAAGAAAAACGAGGAGGGTAGAAAGGGAAACCCCTCCGATCCCGCCCTCACCCTTGTTCTTCTGCGTCCGAGCGATCTCCTTCTCGATCTCCGAGATTTTCTCCAAGATCCCCATAGTTGCAGCTTCGGCGGAGATTCACGCTGCCTACAGCTTACAGCGCTGGGAACTCAGGTCTGACGCCGGAGGCAAAGCAGACAGAACCAGGAAGCGCACCGAGAACGGAGTCCTCCAGAGCGTCTGGTGCTGCGAGATTCGGAGTCCGGGCAGACCAAGTGGAGAGCAGATACCATCCGTTCCTCTCTTGTGGAGGTGCGATGAACCAGGACGCAACCAGGTCTAGTGGGTCGGCAAACCCTTTCAGCTCCGTCTTCAGAGCATATGGATGTGCACAGTGCCACACTTAAATATTTTTTTCTTTTTCATTTATTTATTTATTTATTTATTTATTTATTTTTTGTTTTTTTTTGAGACAGGGTTTCTCTGTGGCTTTGGAGGCTGTCCTGGAACTAGCTCTTGTAGACCAGGCTGGCCTCGAACTCACAGAGATCCGCCTGCCTCTGCTTCCCGAGTGCTGGGACTAAAAGCATGTGCCACCACTGCCCGGCTTGCCACTTATCTTACTGCTCCCTCCATCACATCTCCCCGGGGGCTTCGAAAGCCTCCTGGTGGGTCCCTCTGCTTGTCCTCTGTGCCACTAAGCAACCAGCAGGATCCTTTAAACTTAGAGCAGATCATGTGGCTCCCTTGCTCTAAGTGCCCTCTAATGGCTTCCATCATGGAGTAGAAGCCAAGGTCAGTCAGTCCTTAATGTAGCAACAAGCAAGATATTTAGAATGTGACATGAAAACACCTACACTTTAACAGTAGCATCACCTCTGCCCTTACCTCCACTACTAACCCACGGGTTCCCATCTCAGGACCTTTGCCCTGACTGTTGCTCTTAATACAGCACACTCACTCCTGCCTCATGACCCTTGCGTGGGTTGCTTCCTCTGGAATGCTCTTACCATACATCAGCCTGGCGCAGTCTCTTTGTTCCAGGTTTTTGTTCAAAGACCGTTTAAACAACACTTGCTTAATAAAGCTCAGACTGACCACATCCTTAAAAATTGCATCCACACCTTGCTCCAGCTGATATCACCGATTTTTTTTCCTGCCTTTTCCTGTCCTCTAATGCCTCACGTGATGGTCTCCCTTATTATGACTATTGTTCTGCATGTGTGCTGCAGACCATTCTGCTGAGTCACTGATTCAGACTGATGGTAAAGCAGTGGTTGCCATGTGTTCAGTGCTCAGAAGAACCAAAACCAAGAGAGCCTTTAGGACAGGACCTGGTATTCCTTCTAGAGCTTCCACTTCCGATGAGTGCACACTTTCTGTGCCAGGCTGGTGTTGCCAAGTGCTACTCTTTTCTGTACTAGGGATGAATGTGTTTACATGTGTGTGGGTCTGCATGTGTGTGCACATGTGCACACGAGCATCTGTAGGGACCAGAGGCTGACACCAGGTGTCTTTCTCACTCTCTGCCTTAAAAAAAAAAAAAAAATTTGATTATCTTTTATTTTGTGGTGGAGTGTGATGTGTGGAGGTCAAAGGACAACTTGTGGGAGTTAGCTAAGTTATCACGTAGGTTCTGGAGATCCAACTCAGGTGGTCAGGTTTAGCACAAGCTCCCTAACTCACCCATCTCCATGGTTCTCCACCTTAGTTCCTGAGAAAAGGTTTCTCATTGAAACTGGATCTTGCTGTGCTAGGCAGTGGAGCACACACCTTTAATTCCAGCATTGGGATGGCAGAGGCAGGTGGATCTCTGAGTTTGAGGCCTACAGAGTCACGAAGGGGGGCGGGGGCAGGGGAGAAGATGATGATGACGACAAAGACTTGACGGTCAGAGACCCTCCTGTCTCCACCTACCCAGTGCTGGATTACTGGTGCATGCTGGTTTTATGTGGGGAATCTAAACTCAGGTCATCATGCTCCTGCACCAAGTACTTTACTGACAGAGATATCTATCTCCCTAGTCCCCTGTGCCCCAGTGCTATTCTGAGGTTTCACTACCGAAAGCCTGTATGATTTTTACCCACAAGTCTGCATTTAATACTTTAACACCATAAGCCCGAGAGCAGTGGTTCTCAACTTTTCCTCATGCTGGGACCCTTTAATACAGTTCCTCATATTGTGATGACCCCAACAATAAAATTATTTTCATTGCTACTTCATAATTATAATTTTGTTAGTCATTAATCGTGATGTAAATATCTGATATGCAGGATGTCTGATGTGTGACCTCACTGAAAGGGTCATGAACCCCCAAAGGGGTGGAGACCCACAGGTTGAGAACTCTTGCCCTAGAGCCTTTCTCATTTTCAGTGGGACTTATACTATCATTCAAAAACTTTGTTGCATGTCAGAGTTATGGTGGGAATTTCAGTAACACCAACCAACAGGTTGCATTCTGCTCAGCCCAGGGATGTTGGATTTGAAAATTTAATCTTGAGAAGACAAGGTCTCATGATGACTAAGCTGGTCTGAAACTTGTAGGCTCATGATCCTCCTGCCTCAGCATCCCCAATAGCTAGGGCTCCGGATGCACACACCTGCACACAGATCAATAAAAGGATTTAAAATGAACTCCAGGGTGGAGTGTAGTCCGGTCTGAGTGGTATTGCTTCATCATGCCAACTAGAGAAGCTGTGGAGGAATGAAGCAAGCTGAGAAACCAGAAGGGAAAACGGCAATAGTAAACTTGAATTTAGCAGATACTTTTCTACAAATGGGAAGCTTTTTATGTTCCCCTGTTATGTACAAATACGGGAGTTTCAACCTTGAAATGTTTTTGAAGGAAGTTTGGACAGAAAGCTGCTCAACAGCACTCAGTCCCAGACCCTTTGCTTCTGGCATCAAGGCCAATTGCCTTTTTAATTTTATGTTTTGCTTTGAACTGTTATTTTATGTGCATATTTGGCTGGTACCTGCAGAGACCAGAAGAGGGTGTTGGATCTGGAACTGGAGTTTTAAGTGTTGGTTGTGATCCAGGACCTCTGGAAGAACAACCAGTGCTCTTAACTGCTGAGACACATCTCCAGCTCCTTTTGTTTTGGTTTGGAGGCACTGGAGATGCAATGTTGGGCCTTAAACTTGTGTCCTAGTTGCCCAATTCACTCCTGAGCAACACCTATGCCTTCCTTCTCAGGTGTGCTTGGGTCAGGTCAGACAGAGCTCATGCTTGCCATTGTCTGTCTGTCCTATTTTGCAGCTGGATTTACACGTAGCAGAATTTGCACACATTCTATTGTTCCTATAGAGGCCTCAAACCAGGGCAGACAAAAGGTTAAAATTTGGATATTAAGATCTGAAGCCAGGCAGTGGTGGCACAGGCCTTTAATCAGAGATCCACCTGCCTCTGCCTTTAAGTGTTGCAATTAAAGGTGTGTGCCACTACTGCCTGGTTTAAGATGGGGAACTTGCTTTGTTGAGCCACAAGAGTGACCATCAACATAAATTTCCTTGGCATTCCATTTTAAAATTTAAGTCTCTTCAACATTTGAGACTTTTCAGAATCTCAAAATTTCTGGACTGAGTGTTGAGTTAATGGATTCAGGCATGGTACAGAAATGGAGGCCCAGAGCCTACTGCCAACACCTAGCTTCCTTCTAGCGGCCTAAGTACGCATGCTTTAGGGCTGTTGTTCCTTTGCAACATTTGAAGACAACATTAGGCTCCATCAGTGGTCCATGTATACACATATAGATATATCTACTATATGATGTCAGTTTACATTAGCAATAAAGAGTGGAATAAATAAAGAGCCTGAATTAGCTGGGCAGTGGTGGGCACGCCTTTAATCCCAGCACTCAGGAGGCAGAGGTAGGAGGATTTCTGAGTTCGAGACAAGCCTCATCTATACAAGTTCCAGGACAGCCTCCAAAGCCACAGAAAAACTCTGTCTCCAAAACCAAACCAAACAAACAAACAAAAACCAAAACAACCCCCCCAAAACAAAAACAAACAAAAAAAGAACCTGACTTCTCCTGGGTCAGCAATTGAGGTAGGTGGATTTGTGACAAATTACTGTCATTTGAACTACTAAACGTTATGGATTTATTGTCAGTTAATCCTGACACTGCAAAGATACATGTGTTCATCTACGTGTATGGCATAGCACACTCATGATAGTGGCCTACACAGGTTTCTAGCCTGCCTCTGTAGCTACATGGCCAGTTTCTTCTAATGGAATTGTTTTGACTTAGAAATTGGACACACACTGCTTAAATACCTTTATTATTTTTTTTAAAAATTATTTAGACATTGATAGCTCTGTAAAATACTTCTCCCATTGCAAATTTTCAAACCCTTTCCACAGGTCTTCCATAAAGAAACAAAATATTCACACTTTGCGCCCATTCAAATCTAATTTTTAAAAAACATTTAAGATTCAAAATCAAGTATTTTTCTTTCCCAGAACTTGTTAGTAATTTTAAACCACAATGTAACATACTTAATGGCATTTCTTTTTAAAAATTAGCTTATCAGTGACTATTTTATGAGGAAAAAAAAATCCATTCAAGGCCTTAAGAGAATATAAATTCCCTGCTTCTGAAAGCAAAAGACATTGAGAAACAAACCCCTTTGTTCCTCTGGAGTCTGATTTCAACACTGCTAACAGAGCCAGCACACTGACTGGCTTCCTACTTAATATTAGGCATTGTCTACTTACTTTTGGACTGCAGCTGAAATGCTAGACAATCTTTAGGGATGGATGGGTAGAAGGGTAAAGCAGGGAATGGAGGGCCAAGGCTGGCCGCAGCACTGGAGCCTTCTGTGTGGAGGGTAAGGCCAGACCTCTAGTCCCTGCCTGGGGCTGGCTTGTTGGAGAACAGTAGGAAATTTGCAGTCTGCACTTATTTCTCATGTTAAGATACAAGTGTCAGTCAAAGATATTGCACACGGTATCAGAGGCATGTAAACCACCAAGACAGCCTGGGAAAGAGCTACAGATAGAGACAAGTCTCCAGAGGTTCTTCAGGGACAGAAAAGGAAGTCACTATCCATCAGGTAGACGTTGCTGAGTGAAACATTTATTCCTGCCCAATTCACAGGGCAGATTTTTAAGCAGCAGGTCTTCAGGTGGGTCTGAAGGCTGCTAAAGGCATCCTTCCCTCGTTTTTCTAAGTACAACTGGAGCACTTCCCTAGCTAAGAAAGGAAAAGGAGCAGGGTGTGGTGGTGCACACCTTTAACCCTAGTATTCCAAGCAGTCAGGTGGATCTCTGTGAGTTCAAGGTCAGCCTGGTCTACGTGGTGAGTTCCAGGCCAACCAGAGTTACAGTGAGAACCTGACTTCAAAGAGCCCAAAAGGGGCATAGTCCCTCAGCCTCCTTCATTCTTAAGTGTTGCCCCTCACTTAACTGATGGTGTCCCATGAGTGTCAGTCGGGTGTTTCTCAGCAGAGCCAGCCATTTGATGCACAGCTGAATTTTGATGTCTTTTGTTTGGAGATGAAGTCTAGGTTCACCTGAGACTGACCCTACCTCCTGGAATCAGTTTTTGAGTAGCTGGTGCATCACCACATCCAGCTTACTTTTCAAAGGTCAGGAACCATGTGATTCAGCATTAGCAATGAATGTGAATTATTTTCTCTACCTAAGCCTTGGATTTACTTTTATGGTTTGTGAGCCCTGACTTTACTGAATGGGTAGATTGTACTCTGCTCAGTCTTAGGACTACAGATATCATAGTATTTGCTGGTTCTGTTCCCCACTTCTGCTCTTTTAAGGCTCCCCTAAGTCAGTATTAATAACATACAGCACAGAACAAGTACAGTCACCCTGCTACTCCTGCTGTTCCTCTCCCAGCACTGGGAATGGAAGTGAGGTCCTCATATGTGACAAGCTAATACTCTATCAGCTGTACTCTCGGCCCTAGTGCTGTATTTATTTTAAAGCTTTTTCCCCTTGTGTTTGAACCTGTAAACCACCAGAATCCCCCCAAAGCCCTGACCATATCTGTGGACTACAACTGATGCCAACCTATCAAGCTTTTTAAACATTTAGAAAAACCAAACCAAACCAAACCAAACCAAAACACTCCCCTCCCCCACACTTTGGCACATGAGCCTGGAGTTATTTGAGCGCATTTATCTTTCCTGCCCGCCCCATCTTAACATTTCAGTCATCCTTTCCAGAGAATGGAGACCCTTCTGCCTTTGGAAAAAGTTGTCATGACACACTGATGTTCTGAGTAGCAAAAGGAGGAGGCACAAATGCTCAACTGGCCCCGGAAACAGTTCTTGTGTTTAGCACTGTAATTTATGCAATGCTGAGAAACTTTTGTACCAGATGACTTGTTTTAAAACTGCTGGTTGATTAAATATACATATAGACATAGATATAAAAATTACTAAGTCAACATTTGTTGTTTTCAATGTGAAAACGATAAAATGTAATTCGGAATAATTGTGCATTTGCCATAGGGTCCTTGTTAAAGGTACCATAAAAATAATAATTTTGTAATAAAAAACTCTTTTATTTTAGTATTGCCCTCAAGTTCAGAAGTTTGGAGCAAACATACTAAGAAAGCAGTTTGGAATCTACTCCCACCAGGGATCTGGAAGCCTTAAATTTAGTGATCCCCGACAGCAGGCCCAGGAAACTCGACAGCCATGTGTGAGTCTTGCACTGTTAATAGTACAGGGCTCAGGAGAGCCCCACAAAACATTCAAACTGGAATCAAATGCTGATGAGGCCCACCAGGGTCCCCTCCTATTTCATTGGTGGTAGATGCTGGGCCCAGCCATCTCCTCACACAGAGCTCTGGGGCACAAGCTGCTAGGCTCTGCCTTTCCTTGGGCTACCAAACAAGCAACTGGGGAAGGAATAGGGTCTGGGTGGGGACCACTGAGCACCAAGGCTGAGGTGACCCAGGAGCTGACCTTCCACTCGGCTAGAGGCAGGCTGAGGACAGATGGCATTTCTGTGATGCAGAAGTTAGCTGTGCAGGAAGGAAAGTGCATTTAAGGTTGCTCAGAAACAGATGGTGACCACAATGCCGCAGAGAGGAAGGAGGGTAAGAGGTGGACAGCTCCCTCTGCCTGCCTGCAGGTAGGCCATGTGCCTTGGGTCCTGTATGTTAACATTCATGCTTTCTGATGAAATCTGCTCATGAAGAAACAGGAACACACCTCTCCTGGTTCTGGCAGGTACATAATTTCCTTGGCAAAGCTCTTTGTTGCCAAGTTCAGTTTTATTTGGCCGCTGTTCTGAACCACTGTCATCGGAACTCATAGATGGGTGCGCTGTGTTCGGGAACATGGGTCAGGTTGAGGGACTGATACCTGCAATAGACCAGAGACAGGACAAAAGCGTTTTTTTTTTTTTTTTTTGAGTACCCTGAACAGAGGAGGCTGGAGAACTTCACCCACAGCCCCTGCCAAAAATATACCTAGATGGAGGTGCTAAACCATTTTTAGTTATGTATATAAATGTAGGGTCTCACCAGCAGTGGTGGTGCACACCTTTAATCCCAGCACTCGGGAGGCAGAGGCAGGAGGATCTCTGTGAGTTTCAGGACAGCCAGAGGAATCTGTTTTTTTGACCCCTCCCACCCAGAAAAAAATATAGGGCCTCACTACGTCATAGCTCTAGCTGGCTTGGAACTACCCATGTAGACCAAGCTGACTCACAATAATCCGTCTGCTTCTGCCTCATGAGTCCTGGGAAACACATGCCTCAATTTTGTTATATTTTTGTTTTCTTTTCAGTGTGTGTGCGCGTGTATATATTATGTGCGTGTCTGGTGCCTGTGAAGCATAGAAGAGGGCATAAAATACCCTGGGTCTAGAATTAAAGATGGTTATGAGCCACCACGTGGTGCTGGGAATTCAACCTAAGTCATCTGGAAGAGCAGCAAGTTCTCGTAACAGCTGAGCCATCTCTCTATATCCCCCATTTTGTTATATTTTTAAAATGAAGTGTCACTAATCAACCCAGCAATCTACCTGCCTCAGCCTTCAAGTAGCTGAGAATACAAGTGTATACCAGTACATCTGGCTTTGTTAACTCATTTTATGAATGCCAAGTTGCACCTAGCTAGTGTGTTCCTTTGTTCCTTTCTGTTGCTCCACTAGTACCATGCATAAGAATTGTTTTTAGGCAACAGCTCACACAAACAGGACCCTAAGGTCAGGCGTGGTGAGAGCATGTGAGAGCAGAGCAGGTTGACCTCCACGAGCTCCAGGACAGCTAGGGACACAGAGTGAGAACCTATCTGAAACAACAACCCTGAGTTGGGCCTGGAAGTGCAGGTCTGTAATCCTAGCTACCACGGAGCCTGAGGAAGGAGAATCACAAGTTCCTGACCACCTCAGTTCATCGTCACCAAGTACACTAATGTCTATAAAAACAAACAAACAAACAATGTAGCTCAGGTTCTAGGCTCACATAACAGAAGCAAAAAACAAACAAACAAACCCCTCCCCAAAAAACTAAAGAATAAGAACCAGGACCCCAATTAGCTCCAGGAAGAGATGAAGTTCACCACCTCTTTCCTACTTGTAATTCTGTATTTGTGATGTTATAGGAAATACTTCACACATAACAAAGAATATTCCAATTCTCATAGTACCCAAAGAGACCCTGGAGAGAAGAACCTCACAGCTTGCCATGAGTATTTCCCCACTTCCCATTGCTTTTCACTTCCTGAAATGTGGCTATAAAGTAGGATGCCAATGGAACTGGAGGTATCTGTTTCTCCCATCAGTAAGTATTCTCAGAGGATCAAGAAAGAAGCGGACAGTCCCCATGTAGGGATAACTCCTAGGTCCATTTAATGTCTGGAGGTTAGCTCTCCCTTATTTGCAACATATAACAGTGAAGAACACAGGAAAAGCAGTTTATTTCTAATATATATTTTAAAATATGGGCTGAGGATGTGGCTTAGTAGTGGAGAGTTTGCCCAGCATGCAGGGGCCTGGGGTTACACTCAAGCACTACAAAAAGAAAGAGAAAAATCACGACAGGGCTATGAGGCCAATGAGATGCCTCTGTGTAATGGTGCTTACCACGTAAGCTTGGACACCTGAGTCTGAACCCACATAGAGGTGAAAAGAGAGAACCCAGTCTACAAAGTTGTCCTCTAACCTCCACACGAACGCCATGATACATGCATGCACATGTACACATGTACATGTGTATCATGTACATACACACAATAATACTTTTTTTTAAAGAAAGGCTGACAAGAACTGGAAAGATGGCCCAACAGATAAGAGTACTGGGGTTTGGTTCCTTGCACCCACATGACAGCTCACAACCAGTTCCAGGAGAACCAATGCTCTTTTCTGGCCTCTGTGGACATGCAAGTGGTGTATATATACATATGTAGGCAAACAGCCAGATACACAAAATAAACATTTTTAATTTAAAAAGGCAGCAAGATGGCTCAGTGTGAATCTGGTGCCAAGACTGAAAACTGAATTTGATTCTTGGGACCCACATGATGGAAGGAGAAAGCCACCATTTTCTGTAGTGGCATATATGCTACCACACAATGCATACACCTATCACCCCCACACCACACAACAGAAATGAATGCGGTGCTGGAAAGATGGCTCAGTGGTTACAAACATATATTGCTTTTACTGAGGAACAAAGTTCTACTTCCAGTACCCACGTTGGCCTGCTGCCAACAGCCTGTCATTCTGGTTCCAGGGGAGCCAACTTTTTGGCCTTTTGTGGACATCTTCACTCATATGCAAAGGTGTACAAAACAACAAAAGATAAAAACAAATCTTTAAAGAAATGACAAAAAACCCTGGAAGGACTATGTACTAGATGTTAGGAATATACAGCACTAAGATTACAATGAGGCACTTTTTTTTTGCCATCTTGGGCAACTATAAAGGCATGCTAACATGTTGGGGGATGACATGAAAAAAACTGAAGCTCTCAAATCTTGCTGGTAAGACTATCAAATGGCACTGCCTCTGTAGAAGTCTGGCAGTTCCTTAGATGGTAAATACAGACGTAGCATCTAATCCAGCACTTTTATTTGTATGTATATGCCCAAAGTAGAAGAAAACAGGAACTCAGAAACAGACACCTATATTCACAACAGCACTACTTTGATCAGCCAAAGGTGAAAGCAACTCAAGAGTTCCTTCATTCAAAGAAGGATGGACACACAAATACTGCAAAGACATGCAATGGAGAATTTGGTAATAAATAAAAGTGCTAGCCTAGCAACAGTGATTGTGCTGTATAGTTTTATAGGGACACATTCTTCATTAGTGATTAATGTGGGAGGGCCCAGTCCATTGTAGGTGGTGCCACACTTGGGCTAATGGTTCTGGATTCCATAAAAAAGCAGGCTGAGCAAGCCAGGAAGCTATACTCCTCCACGGCTGATGCATCAGCTTCTGCATCCAGATTCTTGCCCTGACCGCCTCTGATGATGAAATGTGATATGGAAGTATAAGTGAAATAAACCCTTTCCTCCCAAAATTGTTTTTGGTCATAGCCATCACAGCAATAGAAACCAACCCTCTTAAGACATGGTGCACATTTCTGACTCAGTACCCAGGAGGCAGATGTGGGAGATATACATAAATTCTAAGTATAAGCCTGGACTGTATTGTATAGTGAAACCCTGTCTCAACCAAAGAAATTCCCACACATGCTGTGAGAGGAGTGATTCCTCAAAGCATTTTGCTAAGTGAGATGTCAGACACAAAGGCCAGGTATTGCAGGTTTAGAAAGTTTTTTAAAAACTCACCTGAAAATAGGACAATTATTGAAAGCCACCAACAAAGAATTTGAATCAATCTAGACTAGGATCACTCACAGCCAGGAAAAAAAAAAAAATCTGAAAGGAAATTGTGCCTCATTTTATTTAGGTTTTTTGAGACAGAGTTTCTCTGTAGCTTTGGAGCCTGTCCTGGAACTCACTCTGTAGACCAGGCTGGCTTTGAACTCAGAGATCCTCTTGTCTTTGCCTCTCAAGTGCTGGGATAAAAGGCATGCACCATCACCCCATTTTACCTTTTTAAATTCTAGTTAACTTTTTATTTATGTGTATGAATCTATGTGCACTATATATGTGAAGGTATTTGGAAGAAAAAAGTGCTGGAATCTGAATCTGGGTCCCCTGGAAGAGCATGAAGTACTCCTAACTGCTGAGTCATTTCTTTAGCCCAAGTGTTCCACTTTCAGAGAAGAAATAAGGTGCTCCCTGGTATAGCTGACCCTCACTGTATAGCAAGAAGGCACAAGAGTCCCCTAAAAGATGGCAAAAGCCATCACTTGTGGTGGCTGTCTCACCATATGGAGGAACATAAGGCAGGGAGGTGAACTCTCATGGCCCCTAGCTTATCAGATCAAGATCAAGTGCATGAGAGGCAATGCCAGCTGTTAACTCTGAAGGTCACACTGTCTATAAAAGATTACATTAGAGTTATTGCTAAATTCACGAGGAATAAATATGAAATAACCAGGATTGAGGTAAGCATTCCTGAAAATGATAGACTGTCTAAAAGTATATACTGGGTGCTGCTTAGTGGTAGAACCCTTACCTACCATGTACAAGATCCTAGGTTCCATCCCACATAACACACATAATGTTGTATCTCTAGTGTCTGTCTCTGTCTCTCTTATACAGGTACATTTAGAAATAGACTAGAAAGATGGTTTAGTGGTTAAGAGTTCTTGTTGGCCTTGCAGAAGATCCAAGATTGGTTTTTAGCATCCACATAGTGGCTCACAACCAATCATACCTCTAGTTCCTGAGGATCCAATACCCTCTTCTGATCTCTGCAGGTACCAGGTACACATGTGCTATACATTATCTATCTATCTATCATCTATCTATCTATCTATCTATCTATCTATCTATCTATGTATGCAGGAAAAACATTCATATGCATTAAATAAAAGGCTTAAAAATTTAACAGTATTTAGAAATTATATACTCACTTTCATTTCATTACTTCACTCTATAGGTAAGAAAGAGTCCCTGTTCTATGTGAGGTCATTTAAATGGCCTCAGTACAACACACAGAGTATGGAATTTGGACAGAGGTAGACTGAATCTCTTTTAGATGTGATAGCTGGAGTTGATGGTGTCTTTTGCTGCAGTACCATCCTTGAGATCCTTACCACTCTGAACTCCGATGGTAGTAGTAGCCCTCTATGGAGGCTGCTGACTTCTGAAAGCAGATGTAATAGAAGCCAGCAAAGGAAGCACCACTGATGTCTTTGATTGTGTGGTCCGGGACCAGGAACTGCTCCTGCACACAGATATGGGATCAGTCAATACCTTCCCTTTCAATGAGATACTAGAGAGTTTTAAAGACAGCTAAGAAAAAAGGTATCTGCCTGCTTTTGGGGTGGTGCTCATATATGTTATTACAGTATCCTACCTACCTCTCTGAGCCCACAGGACCAGCAACTCAGAAGAAGGATCATTACTGGAGATCTAACAGACCAAACAATACAACTTTCCTGCCTATTTATTTACCTCTTGGAGACCACTTGACAGAATAACTTAGGAATCAATTCAGTCTGGTTTCCAGGAACTGTCACTGGGTTCTGATTACCTCTGAGTCACATTAATTGCAGCCTATGTTCATCCTGAGGTGAGAGTCCTTGTGACACCTCACCAAAGCTCTACTCTGGTCCAAGTCACAAGAGCACACTACAGAGACAGGCAACCTGCCATCTGTGAAAGGCTCCTGCTCTCCATGAGATGGGGTCAGAAGCCCCAGGGCTTCAGGGAAACCAGAATCCATGTGAGTAACACTAAGAGAAATTGTTTGGAGACAACTCCACTGCTTTAACATACTGTTTTCATTTACTTTCCAATGCTGGAATGAAACCCAGGACTTTGTGTTTGCTAGACAAATGCTCTACCATAAACTATATTCCCAAACCTCTTCCAGCTTTTTTTTTTTTTTTTTTTTTAAATGGATTCTTTTTTCTGCCTTATTCAAACTTCAAAATACCATTTTAAGTTTAACTTAGGTCTAAGGTCTAGTTCAGTGGTAGAACACTTGCCTAGTATGTGCAAATCCTCAGCACTGGATAAAACCAATCTAATCATCAGTACAAGTTCTTTAAAGGATTCGTTGGCATATTTCCCACTGTACGGCAGGCTGGGGAGGGAGGTTCAGAATGTGCTAGTGTAGGCTAGAGAGGGAAGCTCACTGTGTGTTCTACTGCAACTGTCGAGTGAGGAAACCCTATCCCACTTCCCAAATGGTCAGCCACACAAAGCACAGATGGCAAGTAACCCTTTAGATGTCTAGTCTTTATGAAACTATACCATATTCAAGTAGCTTTCTTTTTTTAAAATGACGTATTTATTTTACGTGCATTGGTGTTTTATCTGCTTGTATGTCTGTGTGAGGGTGTCAGATCCCCTAGAACTGGAGTTACAAACAGTTGTGAGCTGTTATATGGGTGCTGGGAATTGAACATGGGTCCTCTGGAAGAGCAGCCAGTGCTCTTAACCACAAAGCTATCTCAAGCCCCCTCAAGTAGCTTTCTTTCTCCTCACAGAGCAGGCAATGGGGACTTGAGGTGGACAGGTGTTCCCAAATTTCTCACAAACTTGTTTCATGGCTTTGCATCCATGTGGTTGTAGATAGCACACTACCATAGTAGAGAAGCATAGGACTCTCAGGCAAAGGCCAATCCACTCAAGGACTAGGGGGAGCCAGGGGCCAGGGAGAGGAGAACTTCTGCTTCACTCCTGGCCCCTCATTTCCTGAGCACTGGGTAGAGGATGTGGCTGGAGAGCAAGACACTCTGATGACATTTAAGCTTGTGGTAGGAATAGGTGCAGTTTTGACTAGATTCAAGGAAAATGGCGCTGAATCCCCGGAAACTGGATGACTCATCCTGGAGGTTCACAGGATTCTTGGGTAGGAAAATGAAATCTGGAGCCATCACACAACTGAAATGTAGGGACCCTATCATGTGATAAGCAAATGGTATGAAGGGCCCCTGTGGGAAGGCATAATCAGCCAAGAGGAAGTATGTGTGGGTGCTCTAGGACCTGGCATATGGGAGTTTGGGGAGACAGCTTATGCAGAACCTTACCTTCCACCTCATGAAGACATAATCCCCATTTTTCAGTTCTTCATAATCGAAGTCATCTGAATTAAATGATTTTGCATACTGATAAAAAGCCAGAAACTTGCCCTAAAAACAAAACAAAAGAATCTCAGTGATCCATCCACATGAGCAAAGGTGGGTGCCTGAGCTCATGACACCTGGAAAGGATAGCTAAGTGGACAAGGCACTACTAGACTGTGTGCCCAGTGGACACAGCCAGAGAAAAAGGTCAAAGGTGGGAGTGAGCACAGTTCTAGAACACCCTCCTATCAGAACACTTAAGGTAAGATGGATCAGTGAGATTTCAACAAAGAAACAGAGTAGTGCTGGGCATGGTGGCTCACAACCTTAATCCCAAAACATAGGAAGCAGGTGGATCTCTGAGTTTGAGGCCAGCTTGGTCTTAATAGTGAGTTCCAGGACAGCCAGGACTATGTAATAAGACTCTGTCTCAAAAAATGAAAAGAAAAACAAAGAACATATGGAGGGGCAAGGAGAGTCACAGTGAGTCCCAGCACTAAGGAGGCTGCAGCATCAAGAATTCAAGGTTCTCTTCAACTCTACAGGGAGGTTAAAGCCAGGCTAGACTACATAAGACTATCTTAAAAAACCAAAATGGTGCTGGACATGGTAGTGTGCACTTTTAATCCCAGACAAGAGTCTGGAGGATCTCCAAGTTCGATGTTAGCCTGATCTACACTGCAAGTGCCAGACTACCCAGGGTTGCACACGGAGACCCTATCTCACCCAAACAAAAGGCAAACAAGAAGACAGTGAAGTACCTGCTGTGCAATCAAGAGGACCTGAGTTTAGACCCCTATCACCCACACCTAGAATGCTAGAGCTGCTCTCAGTGAGTTCTGCCTAAAAAATGTTCAGAACTATACAGGAACATACCTTGTGTTGACTCTGGCTAAGGGTACATGCATACCCTCCCACACACACATCAAGACAGTTAATTTTTTATCTGTACAGACAATAAAAATAAAGCAAAAAACAAAGAATAGGACTGATGAGTTTGCTCAGTGGTTAGTTAAGGGCACTTGTTGCTGGTTCCCAGCACACTCATATGCATGTAGCCAAAACACCCATACACATAGAGTAACAAATCTAAAAACAAAAACCAAAGAGTCAATTGAGCCACTTTCTAACAGCATGTCAGAGCTAGGTATGGTAATGGACATAAATAATTGCAACATATATAACTGGGAGGGTGAGACAAAAGTATTCCAAGTTTAAGGCCTTTCTACACAATAAATTGAAAGTGTGAGTGCCTGTCCAATCAGAGAAGAGTGGGTATAGGAAAGTCAGTTCTTATGACACTGGGTTTGTCTGAAAAGAGGTAATATATACATATGTAGTCATCTCTTGGTACCTGCAGGGGATGGATTCTAGGATCCTGTACAGACACCAAAATCCAGAGACACTCAAGTCCCTCAGTAATATGACTTGATCTGTATGTGAGCTGCATACATTATCCCTCTATACACTTAATTGTCTCTAGGAAGCTGGAATACCATGTGGACATTTGTAGACAGCTATACTGTACTTTGCAGGAAAAAGGTGGAAATAAAAAAGCTTGTGTATGTTGAGTAAAGACAAATGTTTTTCTCCTTTTTTTGTTTTGAGACAGGGTTTCTCTGTGTAGCCTTAGCTGTCCTGGAACTTGCTCCGTAGACCAGGCTGGCTTCAACTCACAGAGCTCCGCCTGCGTCTGGCTCCCGAGTGTTGGGATTAAAGGCGTGTGCCACTACCATTTGGCTTTTTTTTTTTTTTTTTTAAGGGTTTTACAGTACAGCCTGTCTGGTCTTGGAATTCACTATATAGACCAGGCTGGCCTCAAACTCACATTGGTCTGCTTGGTTCTGCTTCCAGAGTATTGAGATTAAAGGCATATGTCACCATGCCTGGCAATATTTAAGTTTTATTTTTATTTTATTTGTGTGGGTGTTTTACCTGCATGTATGTGTATGCCAAGGAGGTCAGAAGAGGGTGTCATAGGCCCTGGAACTGGAGTTACAGATAGTTGTAAGCTGTCACATGGTTCTGGGAACAGAAGCTGAATGAATCCTTTGGAAGAGCTTAAGTGCCCTTAACTGAGCCATCCCCTCAGGTCTGAGACAGAATATTTTTTACTAACATTTCCTTGTATTGCACCAGAAAATCAATGAGTTACTGACTCCAAACATTTTCAGTCTACAGTCAGTTGAATACAGGAAGTTGAAACTCAAGGATACAAAAGGACCCAGAAGAGGGTCAAGACAATATCTGTCTTAGTGCTAAGCATTATAGATTTTCCCTTCCTAGTTCGTTTTTTCAATATTTTCAAATAAGCATGTACTTTATAGGAAAAAAAATCTGAAATAAAAGGTCAACAGTGAAAGTTTAATATATACACAGGACTCAAAGCCTTTAATACAGTTTGACATGTTAAGTCATAAATGTTGTCATGAAGATATGAAGCATATGGAATCCTGACCATGGCTCTAGCTTTAGGTGTTGCTAACAGGTAAATCCGAGGGTGCAACAGCATGTCTGATTCTAGACTACAATAGGAAAGTGGTAGCACAGGCAGTTTATCCCACACTGCAAACTCAAAGTAAACACAGAGAGCAAGACCTTATCTCAAAAAAACAAAAACCAGCTGGGCATGGTGGCATACACCAGTTATTGCAGCACTTGGGAGACTGAGCAAGAAGATAGCTGAGATTTTTCAAGCCAGCCTGGGTTACAGAAGAAGATCCTATCTCAAAACAAACATGCCTCTCCACAATGGTCGACAAGAAAAGGCTGGTGTGATAGAACAAAAAACAAACTTTTGAAGATATAAGATTGGTAAAGACCCAAACGGGAAAAGACCCCAGGGCAGTAACTCTTAAGTTCTGCTGACATGCTCACCACTGGAGAATAAGGGCATTTCATTGCACATATGCCTGTTAAGGACAGGGAATCTGAATTTCTCAAGCGTGATTGGCTGATATGTAGGTTAAGTCTATTAGGAAGACCAGAAAAAAGCAATGCATTCTGCCCTTGCTGGGCTTTGTGAACAACATCCCCACTAAAGGCCATCCAGTACACGAGAGACAACTGCTACCTGTCTCATGGGATTTCACCATACAGTCATGACTAGAAAGGAACAATAGAGAAAAGATGGCAGAACAGGGACATTGCCCAGGTTCTAATAGCCTCGTAGAGCTGTGCACTAAGCTGAAGGACTGTTCTTATCACCTGGTATTTAAGAGGAGGTTTGGCAGACCTGGAGCAACTGCATCGTGACTCCTGCTGGGAAACAGGGCCCCAAGTCTAGGCCTGCCATTCTCTAGATGTCTTCAGCTGCCCAAGGCAGAACACAGCCTTACTCACCCAGTTCAGCCTTACTCACCCAGTGTTTCCGATCGACGTCTTCATCTGCGTCCCACTTGCGAGTTAAGAAAGGGTGTTTTTTGCTTATTATTTCTCCTTCAAAGAAGGTTGTAAGGGTTGGATATTCCTACAGTAAAAGCAAGATATTAAGTGTGAATTTCTGGTTGTTTTTGTTTGTAGTATACAGAGATCTAAACCCAGGAATCCACACACTCAGACACTGAATGAGCACTTTTCCTTGGTCCTGCTGATGGGACCTAGGATCTCAGGCTATCCAAGATAGCCTCCTATCTATTTCACTGTTCAGAGATAACCAATCTTTTTTTTTTTTTTTTTCTTTTTCTTTCTTTTTCAAGACGGGGGTTTCTCTGAGTGTCCCTGGCTTTCCTGGAACTTACTCTGTAGACCAGGCTGGTCTAGAACTCACAGAGATCCCCCTGCCTCTGCCTCTGGAGTGCTGAGATTAAAGGCATGTGCCACCAAAACCTGTCTATAACTTCTTTCTAATACTTTGACAAGATGGCTTTCTAATACTTTTCTAATACTTTGCTAACAAACCAAACCACTGTTAGATCCAGTGATCCAACAGGCTATAGAAATAAACCTGAATTCAGCCGCCTAGACAGTGAAAGGGCTCTGGGACTTTGGAGACTTTGCCAGAGCAAAGAACTCCATTTTGGCCTCACTTGCTATGTTCTGGCCTCTTAGAAAAGAATATGGATGTTGCTCACCACAAGTAAACTCTGAATACCCTACAGTCAAAGCAGAGCATAGCTTATCATGCTGTTTTCTAGGATGCACCACCACGAAAAGCTCCAGAGCTGAGACTGCTTTGACCCTGGGCCACCTCTTCATGCACCCTCAAGTTCCCTTGTTCCTCATTTATACCTGTTTTTTTCTTTTGATTTTTTTTTTTTTTTTTTCTTTTTTTGAGGCAGTGTCTCATTATGTAGCTCCGGTTGACTTGGGATACCAAGAAACATTTCTCCAAACTCAAGGTCATTAACGAGGCCTACTGTGACACCACTACCAACATTGTGTGTTTATTATTAATTTGCAGTCCTGAGTGGACTCAAGGGCCTCATGCACAAGAGACAAGTGTTCTACCAATAAGCGACAACCCCAGATTCTGTTTTTCTTTTCTTTTTTTTTGTGTGAGTGCATGGGTATGGAGGCTAGAGATTGACATTTGGTGTCTTCCTTTCTGGTCTAGACTTTATCTTTTGAAACATGGTTCACTGAATCTGGTGCTCACCACTGGCTAGAATGACTGGCCAGCAAGTTCCAGGATCTGTTAATTTCCATCCAGGCTGCACTAGAGTTACAAACATGCATGGCCATGACTGCTGTTTGTTTTTTGGTCATGGGTGCTGGGGATCTGAACTCAGGTCCTCAGCAAGTGTTTTGCCAACAGAACCATCTACCCAATTCCACCTTCATCCTGTTCCGTTTTTTCCTCTTCTTTTTGTATTTTCAAGACAGGGTTTCTCTGTGTATGTTATTTCTAGCTGTCCTGGAACTTGCTGGATCAGGCTGTAGAACAGGCTGGTCTCAAATTCAAGAGATTCACCTGCCTCTGCCTCCCGAGTGCTGTGATTAGCCACCACTACCTGGCTCTCATTCCATTTCTTAACAGTGAACTTTAAAATACACAAATCTAACATCCTCCCTACAAACTCCTGCACAAACAGTGCTGGGCTGGGTTTCTCTTACAGATCTGTATGTACAGACTAAAGAAATGAGATGGGAGATTTTCTTAAATGGAAATCTAATCATTAAAAAAAAAAACTTCATTAATCCATCTTTGGAAAGGACTATATAAGCCAGGAAGTCAGTAAGACATTTTATTTTAAAGGTTACATACCTCTTAAGACTTATTTATGTTTATTTTATGTGTATGGGTGTTTCGCCTGCATATGTCTGTGCACTATGTGTGTGCTTGGTGCCTGTGGAGGCCAGAATAGGGTGCTGGATCCTCTGGAAGTGGAGGTACAGATAGCACCCGCCATGTGGATGCTAGGAACCAAACCCCAGTTCTCTGGAAGAGCAGCCAGTGTTCTTAACTACTGAACAATCTCTCTAGCATCCTCCTTTTTTTTTTTTTTTTTTGTTTTTTGTTTTTTGAGACAGTCTTATTGGGTAGCCCTAGCTGGCCTGGAACTCACTATGTATACCAGACTGGCATTGAACTCAGAGATCTGCCTGTCTCTGCCTCTTGGGGGTTGAGTTAAAGGTGTGTGACACACAGATAGCCTCCATATATTTTAAACAGGAAATTATGCTTATGTTATTTCTGAGTTTTAATATCTTTTCAGAATTTCCACCTGTCTTAGTTACTATCCCATTGCTGGGAAGAGACACCATGACCAAGGCGACTGTTATAAAAGAAAACATTTAACTGGAGGCTTGCTTACAGTTTTAGAGGGTTGGTTTATGATTGTCATAAGGGAAGCAGACAGGAATGGTGATGGAAAAGTAGCTGAGAGCTTTACATGCTGATCTGCAGGCAGCAGGCAGAGATACAGATAGGTAGATAGGTAGATAGACGAGAGAGATATAGACAGAGGGCGGCAGGGAGAGAGAGAGTGTGTGAGAGAAACAGAGACAGAGAGACAGACTGACTGACTAGGCCTGGTATGGATTTTTGAAATTTCAAAGCCTACCCCACTGACACTCCTCCTGCAACAAGGCCACACTTCCCAATCTCAAACAGTTCCACTAACTGAGAACCACTCATAACAAACATATGAGCCTATGGGGGCCATTTTCATTCAAACCACCATACCATCTACAGGACAGAAGAGCAAAATGGCAAAAGGGTCCTAATAGCATTGAAATAGTTATGGTTTAAATGGCTAGTTTACTAGGGAATGATTATGTGCCGACTTCTTAAACCTTTAGGCAGCATGTGAAGGTAACTATAATGCACTCCCCCAAATACAATAAATGACAATGAATTAGATCCATCATGGTCAGAAGTTACGAAAAAGATTCATTATTTATTGAGGAAGGCACAGGAAGCCTGAGCACTTGACTATATAGTGAAATTTAGGACAATTTAGAGATACAAAACACACCACACACACACACACACACACACACACACACTCACTTACAAACCAAAAACATAACACCAGAAAGGTTATTTGAAAGAGTCTTCAGGGAGGAAGACCAGACAGGTGCAAGGTGTAGCCACCATAGGTCAACAAATACTTCAGTTAAGAGTGAACAGATGGGCTAGAGATCGCTCAGTGGTTAAAAGCACTGGCTGCTCTTCCAATGGACCTGAGTTCAATTCCCAGCAAACACGTGGCAACTCACAACCATCTATAACGGGGTCTGATGCCCTCTTCTGGCCTGCAGCATGCATGCAGACAGAACACTGGACAGATATCCTTTTGCCTGGTCTTAGGATTTGGCTAGTGTGGTCTGTATCCCTGCTTCCAACCATAGCCTGACCTCCCAAATTAAATTAAGGGTGAGAGCAAGGCCTTACCACCATCTCCCCTTCAAAGTTGGGTTCCGTTGGGATCTTTGAGAAACATTCTTTGCCCTATTGGTGGCTAGCTCAGAAATGCAAATATACCAAAATGTATACCTGTGCTTTACAAGTCTGATGCTTCCAATTCAAAATAGCACCCAAAAAGCTGGGTGGTGGTAGCGCACACCTTTAATCCCAGCACTCAGGAGGTAGAGACAGGTGGATCTCTGAGTTTGAGACCAACTATATAAGCTATTCCAGGACAGGCTACAAAGCTAAACAGAGAAACCCTGTCTCCAAATACTAAAACAAAACAAAACAAAAACAAAAAACAAACAAACAAACAAACAAAAATAGCACCCAAAGAGTAAAGCTGTGCTTTGTTAGTGAATATGTGGCAAATAATCTCAAATTTAACTATCTCTCTGGCTCTTAGAATTTTAGAGGCTGAGACAGGGTAACTCAAATTTGAGTCCAACCTGAGCTATTCTGTCTCAAAAAAAAAAGACTAATCAATCATGCTGTGATCTGTGAGGGATATAGGTGAAGCTCAGTGGTTGAGTGCATGCTAAACCTTCATTTCATCCAAGTTTCATACCCAGGACCAAAGGGGAAAACTGTGATTGTGTATATTTGAAAATGGACAGTCAAATTGCAGTATTATGGTCTGCAAAGACAAGGAGTTTCAACATGGAACTGCTGTTCTAGACTCTCTAAGATGCTGAGCAAGCCACTGTGTTCCAATCCCATATCTGGCAATAAGCACTTACCTCTGTAAGGCCTTTAATCTTCAGGTACCCACAAAGGTAAGAGTTACCTGTGTCCACGTGCTGCAAAGAAAGGACAGTGTGTTATAAATGAGCCCCTGGGGTGCTTCAGAAATCCTGCAAGATCAGGGAGGCCTAGAGGTCTGCATGTGCCTGGCACAAGACAAGCCTCAGTTGCCTCTGGTACCTTCAATTCTGACGGATAATGACAATTACCTCAGCGACTAGAGAAATGGCTCAGTTGTTAAGAGCATTTGCTGCTCTTCCAAAGAATCTGAGTGTTGCCAGTACCCACATCAGGTAACTCACGACTACCTGTACCTCTAGTTCTAGGGGGCCCATCACCTTTCAGCCTCCGTTGGTACCTACACTCATGTGCACATATTCATATGTGGGCATACAACACATAATTAAAAATAAACCTTAAAAGATTATCTCTGGTGAGCTGGAGAGATGGCTCAATGGTTAAGGGCACTGGCTGGTCTTCTGGAGGACCTGGGTTCAATTCCCAGCACCAACATTGCAGCTCACAACTATAACTCCAGCTCTAGGGGATCCAATACCCTCACAAGAAAAACACCAACTCATATAAAATAAAAACAAATAAACCATAAAAAATTATCCTAGGTTTGTCTGACTCACTTTGGCCAAATATTTCAAGAATGATGTGCTTTCAGGAACAGCCAGCCCACTCATTTACTTCCTGTACATATCTCACTCATCTGCAGTCTCTGTGCATTGGTAGATACAAGGGCCCACTCTACTCTAACCTTTAATGTCTTACTTGACCATTTCCACTTCTCTGCTATTCAGCTTGGGAGAGCTATTCCTGCTGTTATTGACCCTAAGCATCATCTTGAATTATTTCCCTACGAAATGAGAATTTGAGAATAGCATCTTATAAAGAGTTAGAAGGAATAAATTTTAATTATGAACCAAAATGCCACCCAACATATTATGAATCTCAGCTTGGCCTACTTCATAAACATTCTTTTTTTCTTCTTCTTCTTCCCGAGACAGGGTTTCTCTGTGTATCTGTGTAGCCCTGGCTATCCTGGAACTCACTCTGTAGACCAGGATGGCCTCAAACTCACAGAAATTTACCTGCCTCTGTCTCCCGAGTGCCGGGAATTAAAGGAATGTGTCTTAGATTTGTCTTTCTTTTTTATGTGTGTTTTTTCCCCCACATGTATGTCTCTATACCATATGCAAGCCTGATGCCTGAGGAGGCCTAAAAGAGGATGTTGGCTTCCTGAAATTGGAGTTACAGATGATGATTTTAACTGAGCTGTCTCTGTAGTCCCTGGACTTGTGTTTTGTAATAGAGTCAGGAGCCCAAGAGATTTTTAAGGTTTGGTGGCCACAGGTCATTTGTTGCTTAGATACTGCCAGACATCTACTCAACAACCAATATTTTTTTTTTTTTAAAAAAACATGCTAGCAGGGCCTGGATTTTATTCTGGAACCTACCTTGTTTATGAGACCTGGCTATTATTAGTGAATCTAAACCATGTATGGACCCCCATCACCTGTGAGACACTGGTGTAGAGATGAGTAACTTAGTTCTGGCCAATAAGAATATAAGTCTTCTGAGTGCTTAGGAAGGAGTGCTAACATTTGAATGAGCATATGAGAAACAAATATCTCTTCCTTTTCCTCATGGTGGGAACAATGACAAGCACTATTCAGTCTCAGGGCAGCTACCAAGAGACCAGAAAGAGAAAGATCAGGAAATGCTGAGGATGGCAGTCCAGAAAGATAGACAGAACCAACCCATCATAGGGCCTGGAGCCAAACAATGGGTGAGACAGGGTCTAACGTAGCTCAGGATGGTCTCAAACTCACTATGCAGTAGAGGAAGACATGAACATGATCTTCCTGAGTGCTGGAATTACGTGTGTGGACCATCATGCTTGGTTTATGTGGTCAAACATGGGACTGTGTATTTTATCAGCTGGGCTACATCATCCCCCTGTGAATGCTAATTTGTAATGCAATCTATAAATATTGGAGCTGGAAACACACCAACTTGTGAATCTCACCTCAATCCACACACAATTGTCCCAACAAGCAAAGACTCAGAGTTCATGACTTAAAATTACTCTAATTGTGATTAACTCTGAAGTTGCCCATTAGCTTCTGAATTAAAGCAAAACAAAGTACAGATGTACTGGGGGTACATGGAGATTTTTATGTTAAGTACAATCTCACTTCAAAAAATAGAAAAGTTTTTAAGAAAGTATTGATTTTATTATTTTTAATTATATCTATGTGTCTATATATGAGTATGGGCACATGACACAGGTCAGAGGTGTCACAGCCTCCTGGAGCTGTAGTTACAAGAAGTTGAGAGCTGCATGAATGGACACTGGGAATTAAGCTTGGGTCCTCTACAAGAGCAGTATGTGCCCTTAGCTGTTGAGCCATCTCTCCAGCCCCACCTCTCAGGCTTGGGTATTTACTTCTATCTCTAACACAAACCAAATATTAAGGCAGTCCTTAGGAACTGTAATGAACCTAGTCAGCCAGACGATGTCAACACCAAAGCAATGAGGTCCCAATGAAGCCCAAAGGGCTGTAATATCTTGGTGCTGGAATCAAAAAGTAATTCATGCAAAAACTGTTGAAGTATTTCAGCATCATTGGGACTAGGTAACACAGCTGGTTCAGGAAAAAAAAAAAATTATTAAAGGACACTCTGAGCCTGAGGCCTTAAATCTTACTTTAATTCTTATAGAACTCAACACAATTTGTGGTTTTTCAGAGCTAAAGGCTATCAGATGGAAGCAATGCTTGCTAATAAGATTAAAACTGCAGTGTAAATTGCTTCACATTTGCATGCTCAACAATCAGAATTTCTATTTGGCTTCTGTTGAACCACATCTTTCCCATTCTGCCCAAACTGATTCTGTGTGATGATGGGTGAACTAAAATTACCCCATTTGTACACATTCTCACCAACCAAGCGGTCAGCATTTCAGTGTGAAAGATAACAAGGCAAATGTTTAGCAAGTAGGCCTCTCAGTACAACCATGTCCAACAGCTGCTCTTTTTAAAAACTCCTTTCACTGAGACCTGGGCTTCATACTACTGGTGACTAAGGGGACAGCATAGAGGGAACAGTCACAGTAAGACCTAAGGGAAAGATCTTGTTAGAACCCTGCATATATTTTCAGGAACTCTGTTATACTAGAGTTTCAAAATAAAAGATGTTTTAGGACAGCAGTTCTCACTCTGTGGGTCACAACCCACAGGAGTAGCATATTAGCATATCAGATAGTTACAATTCATAACTTACAGTTATAAAGTAGCAACAAAAATAATTTTATGGTTGGGGGTCATCACTATACCATGAGAAACTGTATTAAAGGGTCACAGCATTAGAAGGGTTGAGAACTACTGCTCTAGGGAAGATGACTTGGTAAGTACTTGTTATTCAAGTATGAGAATCTGAATTTGGATTCCTAGTACACATAATAGCCAGGTGAGATGAGGCACCCCTGGAATCCCAGTGCTGGGGAGGCTGAGACAAATTAATCCCCCAGTCCCTGGCGGTTAGTCTAGCCAATCAGTGAGTTCAGGTTCAGTGAGAGTCTCACAAAATAAGGTGAAAAGTTATTAATAGAGGAAGGCCCCTGATAGAAATCTCTGATCTCCAGGTGCACAAGCACACATGCATACATGCACTCACAGGTACATGTTCACACCTCATTGCTCTGAAAGCACAGGAAAAGATATTAACATCATTTGGAACATTGATAGTAAGACCATGAGATACCATTCCACCCCCTATGGGACAATTGTAATCAAAGGAGTCTGTAAAGATGTGAAGAAGTTGGAACCCTCATATGCTGCCAGTGGAAATCTCAAACAGTATAATCACTTTAAAACTACTGGTAGTTTGCTAAAATATTAAAACTAGAGATACTATAAACCCCAGTATTTCTACCTCTAGGTATCTCTATATCTACTCAAGAAAAATAAAAACATATGTACACATAAAAACCTGTACCCAGTTGGGCTGGCGGTACATACCTATAGTCTCAGTACTTGGAACAGATAAAGTGGGAAGATCACTTTAGGGGTTCAAAGCTAACCTAAGCAATAGAGACCCACACCTCAAAAATGATAAAACAAAAACAAAACAAAACAAACAAACAAAAAAAAACCCTGTAATATGGATGTTCATAATAGCTGTAGTGATAACAGCCCCAAAGTAGAAATAACCTAAGTCTATCAACTGATCAATGGCTAAACAAAATGTAGGTAATGTTTTACAATGGGCAACAACAGAAAGTAATGAAGTGACATGTGTGGAGATACAGATGAGCCCTGAAAATATGCAATGTTAAAGATGCCAGTCACAAAAGGAAAAATAACTGTGTGACTCTATTTATACATTTCCACAATAGTCAAAACTTGAATCTAGGATCTTTGTTTGCTTTTGAGAAAGGGTACATTCTATAGATCAAGATAGCATCCTCTGGCCTCAGAGTCTGAGTTTAGGAATTATAGGTAAATACTACCAAACCTGATCTTAGAATAGGTATATCTGAAGAAAAAAAAAAAAAAAAAAAAAAAAAAAAAAAGATTAGCTTAGGTATGTTCACAGGGTGTGTGCATGTGTGTGTGATGGCTAAGGGGGTATGGAATTTCTTTTGGGGGCAATAAAAATGTTCTAAAATCAGGTGATAGTTGTACAACTTTGTGAACATCCTAAAAGCCATTAAGTGTACCCCTTGGATAGGTAAGCAGTATGATATGGGGATTATATCTCAACAAAATTACTTGAAAAGAACAAGCAGGTATATTTTTCATTGAGTCCATGCCTTTAACTATCACATTATTCTGCTTCCTAAAAATATTTTAAACTAAGCAAACAAGAAAAGCAGGAAAGAAGCTGAATTATGAAAAACAACTTTTCTCAGAAGGCTGAGTCTAAAGAAGTGGCCTTGGCAGGAAGACCAGGTAACAATTCCTGTGCCTCCACCTGGCCAAAAGAACAAACAAGCTCACTGACCTTAGATGTGAGGGAGCATTCCTCCGCATGACCACCGACTGCCCCCACACTAGCCATTCCTTAAGGTTTTGGGTTACCTGACACCTATCAACTATGCCCCAAACTCAATCACTATTTTCACTGGTTTACACTGGCACTGGCAACTACAAAGTAGGAAGAAACAAATGATAGACACAGCCTTTCCTTGATACACAGTTGCTCTAACCCAGCAGTTATCAATTATACCATAAACCAGCAAATGGCTTAAATTCAGGATCCAAACATGATCCATGCAGGGATCTCACTTCCAGAATTTCATGATTAGTTGAATGAATTAAAAACAAAAACCCCGATTTTTTCATACTGTATGATCACATTTTAAGGAGAAAAAAAATTTTTACCACAGTAGGTAATGAGGATTGAAACTGCTCAGCCAGTTTTCCAATTACAATAAATATCATGTTCATGATAGAACTCTATGGAACAAATTACAATTAATAAGAGCATAGTTTTCCCAATCAACCCCCCCCCCAAAAAAAACTATTCCCACAAATGGTAGGAACAAAAGGGGCTTATGAGTGTATGCTACAGTTAGAGAGGAGATACCCTCATGTCTTTGGAGTGCCTCTACTTGCTCAAAAGAAACCAAGATAGGAAATAGAAAGAGCAAAAGGTGGTGGAGGGTGTAGAGTACACTGTACACCTCACTGGGGCCCTAAGGCAGCATGCACCTCTGAACAAGATCTGGGGAACAGCCTAGGTGGGAGCATTAGGAGAATGCACACAAGATGGGAGAGGGACTAGGTCTTCAGGCAGGCAGTTTAATACCCAGAAACAACACTACTAAGGATAGAGGAAAGCAAAGAAAATATCCACCTCCACCAATCTTCTTTGCCTGGGAAAAGCTTCAAGGGAGAGAGAAGGAAGTGAAGCGCTGGAAAAGAAAGGCCCAGAGCAGATGAAGCTGAAGTTTCAAAGTTGTTCAGGGACTGGCAGCCGGCAGCCAGTACTCAGATATCCAGGTCAAATAGGGGGAGGTACGTGGACACAAAACAAAACTGGGTTAGATTTCCCAGTACATCTGAGGCTGGGAGTAAACTCTGGAGCTGTGCAGATAAAAATCAGCAACACTGAAGCCAGCAATAGCAACCAGCTAGACCAAGGTGCTAGGTCTGGGGTGAGGTCAGGGGGACTGCCTGGGATGGGAAGTGGCCAGGGAGCAGGGTAGAGTAAGAAGCCTGGGTGGAAGCCTACAGTGGGGGTAGCTGACTGGGCTATGAACTGACTGAAGCAGGGTTTTGGTACTGGAAGGCCTCAGGAGGCAAGGTCCTGTAAGTGGTGCAACTGGAGATACCTGGGTGTGAGTACCTGGTCTTTGGGGAAGCCAAGGGCTGAGAAATGCCTTGGGTTGTCTCAGCCAATAGAGGGAGGTTGTCCACCGGGCCCCACTGCGCCGAGGACGGTGGGCTGGTTGAGTTTTCCAAAGGAACAAGGTCCCTGGCTCTCAGGATGGAGTGGTGGTAAGGGGACAAGCTTCATTCTGGGAGAATCTGACACTGGTCGCCACCGGGAGGGTACTGAGTCTGGGGGAGCCAATGGGGAGTTCTTCAGGGTCCGACAGGGACTGATGAGAGGGCAGGCTGGTGTAGGAAGACAGGACTTGGGGAAGAACCGACCCAGGTTAAAGGACAGCTAGTCATAGGGGTGCTTCCGGATCCCAAGCGGGAGGATCAAAGGCTCCAAGTGTGGGACAGCCTTCGGGGACTGTCTGAAGCTGACCACTACAGGCTCTGGGTCTAGGGGTGGGTTAGGGCTAGGGTTCGAGAGTGTGACATCAGCTGGGTAGGTCCCGGTGGGAGGCGCCGGGTGCAGGAGGCCCCGGCAGCGAGGGCCTGGTCCGCGGCTGAGGGCTCGCGGAGCCCAGGGCAGGCCTGGCCCGTGAGCGCCGCGAGGAGGCCCTCGGGCTCGGCCTGGCCGCCCGGCGCTCACCTGCAGCACCACCTCTACGTCGTACGAGTTCCCCTTGCTCTTCTGGTGGCCGCGGAACTTGGAGCCGCTGTAGAGCAGGCTGGTGGCCACGCCGGGCTGCTGGGTGTTGATGGGTGGCGGCGGGATGAGTGAGGCCGCGGATGTGGCTGAGGCACCCGCCGGCGGGGGACACTCGGTGCGGACCGGCATCGCGGGGTCCCCCGGAGCCAGGGCTGGGGGAGGGGGAAGGAACCGCCGCCGCCGCGCGGGAGTAGAGGCTGCGGGGAGGGCGGGCCCGGGCGCGCACGCGCGGGGGAGGGGCTCGGGGAACCACCCGCCCGCTGCCGGCCGATCGAGGGCTCGTGTCTCCACCTGGACCCCGGGACCTGCTAGCTGGGTTGTCCTGAGCTGCGTCCTCCTCCCCACTTGCCCTCGCGCGCACACACACGCACACACACACATTCACACACTCACACACACATTCACACACTCACACACACATTCACACACACATACACACAAACACACACACACTGCGGCTCCCGATTGGCGCGGGAGTGCCGGAGAGGCGGGAGCAAGCGCGCGCGGCGCTTCTGTCTATTGGCCGGCGGAGAGAGCACGTGGCGTGTTGTGCGAACAACTCTCTGGGACTTGTAGTTTTCCTTAGCGCGGCATGGAGTAGGCGGGGCGAGCACGCTTGTGATGCTGATTGACGGGGCGGGGGGTGGTACGCAGGGGGCGCGCAGTGGCGACGGCGTGCCGTAGGTGTCATGAGGAAGATGGCGGCGTGCAGAGGAAGCTGAGGGCTTCGAGCCCGTGGTGAGAGGCTTCCGTACAGTCTCTTCGCTCTATTCGTCTTCTCTGTTTTGATGTATGCGTTCACCCAGGCCCTTGGGCGTGATGTGGCGGATCTGCCCCCGGCTGAGGGGTTGGGGGCGCGGGCTCTCGAACCGGCCTTCCAGTGACCCCACCGGCTCAATGTGCCCGAGGCCAACCCTACGGCCTCCGGCCAGAGCCTATGTACCACCGGCAGGTGAGGCCCGGACATATGCTACCTTTTGATCAGGAGCCAAGTCTAGCTCACCTGGTGGAGGATTTCTGTCATGCAATGGGAGGTGACTGAGGCAGGGTTCAGGCCCATGATATTTAGAGCAATGAAGTTGTTTTAGGTCGAAATGTCATCTAAACCAGTGCGGGGGTGACCTTAGAGGGACAGCGAAATATTTGGCTCGTGTGGCTTTTCTAAACTTTCTTTTTCTTTGTTTGTTTGTTTTTCGAGACAGGGTCTTGGAACTCACTCTGTAGACCAGACTGGCCTCAAATTCAAAGATCCTCCTGCCTCTGTGCTAGGATTAAAGGCGTGCAGGTGTCTTTGATTTCAGAAAGGAAAATCTAGGCTTTCGATCAGGACTTCGAAGGTCAAAGTGAAAGGCAAAGAGAGATCTGACAGCCTTGTGCCTCCAGCACCCAGCATAAGTCTTGGCACAGAACAGGCAGGCCTGAAGTCTTCCACCCCCACACACTTTCCTTGAGGGTTTGCAGGGCCTCTGTCCTAGTGCAGAGAGCTACAACCCCTGCATTCCCCTGAATCCTTCTCTAAGTGCAAGTTCAGGCCATGCTGCTTTTACCTACTAAGGACTGTAATAATCCTGAAAGAAGGTTATTTTCATTTTTGCTAGAGAGAAAGCTTATGAGTGAGGTTCACTTCAGTGAATGAAGAGTAGTGACAGCCTCCTTTCATCCCGTGAGTTTTATGTTGCAAGGGGATGTGGTCTCACCTGAATGATATTCACTGTCAAATGCAGGAACGTTACGCATACTAAACAATAGTCTTAATATGGGTGATATGAGAAGTACAAAGGATCTGAGAGCGCACAAAGAATTCCCTCCTTTCTTGAGCACGATTGAAAGGGTACATAAACTGGAACTTGACAGATGAATGAAGGGCTTGGTGAAAAAAAGAAAGAGTGTAACATGTCCAAGGGTGAAAACAGGGTGTTAGGGATCTTGCTGCAACACTACCCACGTTAAGAATTCCATAGGCAGTTTAGCACTGGGATCTGTTGTTGCTAAACTTTTGAGGTATTGTGGTCTCAGGCATGTACGATGTTGCTTTCTTTAGTGATCTGAAGCATATGATTGCCTTTAAAGATTCTTTAAAGTACTTCATTTTATTTAGTGTGTGTGTGTGTGTACTCACATTCACACTTGCCATGCTCAAGGAGGTCAGAGGACAGCTAACAGGACTTGTTTCCATCATGTGGATTTCAGGGATTGAACTGAGGATGTTGGGTTTAGTGGCAAGCACTTTTACATGGTGAGTCATTTCAATGGTTCAAAGTTCATAATCTTATATAAATGGGGGAGGAGATTGGATGCAACAGGGAGCTGAGTTTTCACTTATCAAGACCCAAATGATGGCATAGAAGTGGACCAGGAAGAGACAGTAAAGAGGAAGGAGGAAGCTGAATGTGGTGTTGCATACGTTTGTGTGCTAACTGCTTGGAAGGTTGAGATAGGAGAATCACTTGAGTCCAAGAGTTTGAGGTTAGGCTGGGCTACAATAGCAAGACCTCATCACTGGGGGGTGGGGGGAGAACAAAGCTTGACTTACATATATCTCACTTTCAACTGTGCCTCATTCACTCATTTATTTATACATTCCTATTTTGTTTCATATTTGACTACCTAATATGTGCTAGATAATTCTAAGAGCCAGCTGGTAAGTCTTTAATATAGGAGAAAAGATGGCAGATCAAGTTCCTCCATAACAGAAAGCAAAATTAACCCTTTACTTATTTAGAGAACTCCTGAATATGTTCCTTTTTGTATGCTGTGCTTCCCTAGGATATGCTCTGCTCTCCTTGTCCTCACCAATTGTGAGCTTTTTGTGTATCTTTGAAGTAGTGTAAATTATGCCCAATTGGATACTTCTTGGTAAACACTCTGGTTGCCAAACTGACTGGCAATCTCTTAGGAACAGTGACACCATAGAAGGTTGTCTGGAGAGGAGGGGCTTTTGAAGGGCTGCGGGTAGCGTGGGTTGGAGGAGGAATAGTGTAGTGCAGCAACCCTCCTGTTCTTTTAGCTGCCCAGAGGGGAAGTGATTTGGAGAAAGCAGCATATGAGGCTGAATACGGAGAAGTCAAACTAGAAGTCCTGTCTCTACCATTTATAAATTACCTCCTGTACAAGGCAGCTCCTCAAAGTCTCTGCCACTTCAGAGGCTTACTGGCCTTGCCATCCTCATAAGAGTATCATTTGAGGGGACCAGTCTGCCACTGTTTTTGAAATAAAGTTTTATTGAAACACAGTCATATACTCATACATATTGCCTATGGCTGCTTTCATTATAATGGTCAGAACAGCCTAGAGTATTGACCTCAGCTCCAGATGGAGAACAATTTGGAAAATAGTACATTTATATTTTTGGCTGCAAGAATTTGTTATTATTACATTTCTTTACTTGTATATGTATGTATTTGGGTATATGTGTGCCACTGTTTACATGTGGAGGTTCAGAGAACAACTTTTGAGAGTTTCTCTCCTTTCACCTTTATATGGGTTTGGGGATTGAACTGAGAGACTTGCAAATAAGCACCTTTGGCTTTGCAGAATTTTTAATTCCAGCACTTGGGAGACAGAGGCAGGTCGATCTCTTGAGATCCAGGAGAGCCAGGGCTACACAGAGAAACCCTGTCTCTAAAAACAACAACAACACAACAACAACAACAAAAGATATAATTCATTTTGGAGCTAGAGAGATGGCTTAGAGATTAAGATCACTTGTTGCTCTTACAGAGGGGCTGGGTTCAGTTCCCAGTATCCACAGGGTGACCGACAACTATCGGTAACTCCAGTTCCAGGGGATCAGATGCCCTCTTCTGATCTCTGTGAGCATTAAACACATACATGGTGCACATACGTACTTGAAGGCAAAACACTTACACATTAGATAAAAGTAATAAATATAAAAAAATTAAAGATATCATTCACATACTATCAGTACATTTGATAATGTAAATTCAGTAGTTTGAGAGTCTGTCATCACAATCAGTTTTATGTTATGATAAAAAGCAGTAGGGGCTGGAGAACTGGCCGAGGGGTTAAGAGCATTAGTTGCTCTTCCAGAGTATCCATGTTCAGTTCCCAGCACCTACATGGTGGCTCCAGTCCAGAGGATTAAATACTCTTTCTGGCCTTGGGCACCAGGCATGCACATTGGGGACATACATACATGCAAGCAAAATACCTTAACACATTTTAAAACAGGCAGTCATTTGCTCTTTAGTTATCATCTTTCTGCCTAGCCATTTCTCCAGGCCTAGGCAACCACTACTTTCTTCCTTTAAAGATTTCCCTGCTTTGGACACTTCATATAATTAGACTATGGGGGCCTCATTCAATAGTATGATATTTTTCAGGTTTGTCTATGTTGTATCATATATTCATATTCCAGTCTTTTTATTGCTGAATAAATGAAGACCACATTTTACTTGTTCATTTATGGACACAAAAGTTGTTTCTACTCTAGTTCTTATGAATAATGCTGATGCAGACATTTGTACAAGTTTTTACGTGGGCTTTGGTTTTACTTTTGTGCTGGCTATATTTCCTAAGCTTAAAATTGCTGGGTCAAATGGAAACTAGCTTTTTAAGGAATAGTAAGATTTTTTTATTTTTAAGATGGATGAATCGTTTTAAATTTCTAGTAGTACATGAAGTTTCTAAATTTCTTTATATCCTCACCAAAACTTGTTATTGTCTGACTTCTTGGTTATAGTCAGCTTAAAGATTGTGAGGTATCTCATTGTGGATTTGTTGTTATTACTATTTATTGAGATGATCTGTGTAGTCCTGGATGGCCTAGATTTTTATGTAGACCTGGTTGGCCTCAAACCTGAGGGCTCCTGAGAGCAAGGATTAAAGGCATTCAACACTATGCCAAGTCTTAGTTAGAGGCTTTTCTTTATATATGTTTATATATAAATTTTTTTAAATCTGAAAAGCATTGGTTAGAGCTGCCCCAGAAGTATAAGTTTTGAATTTAGCTTTAAGGGTCAACATCCACCAGATGGCGCTGTTTTAAAAGGTAAAAGTACTGTGATTGCATGACTAGCATTGTTTCTTGGTGTACTCTGGAAATTGTAGTCCTGTGGTTTTTGGTTGTTCTTAAAAAAAAAAAAAAAAAAAAAAAAAAAAGTCAGCTCCCTAAATTGTGACTGGTAAAATAACCACACACTAGACAAGAGGGCTTTAAAAAGGAATGACACTGAAAACTACTCGTTTCTTTATATGGGCTTAAGCAATGTCACAGGAAAGAGAGATCTTCTATTTTATAGAAGGTTACTAGTCAGCACTCTCCCTATGAGCAGTTTTTTCAAATTTATTATTTTTTGTGCATTGGTGTTTGCCATGGATGTCAGATCCCTGAAACTGGAGTTACAGACAGTTGTGAGCTGCCATGTTGGTTCTAGGAATTGAACCTGAATCCTCTGGAAGAGCAGTCTGTTCTCTTATTGAGCCATCTCTCTAGCCCCTTATAAGCAGTTTTTTTACGGTTGTTCTCTGTTGTTTTTCTCTTGTTTTCTTATGGTTGCCTCTTTGTTTTTTTGTTTGCTCGTTTTGTTTTGTTTTTGTTTTTCAGTTTGTGTATATGTATGTGTACATGTGTGGATATATGTGCCATGCATGCATGTGGAGGACAAAGAACATCTTTGTGGTGTCAGTTCTCTTCTTCAATCTTCATGTGGGTTCTGGGGAATTGAATTTAGGTCATTGGGCTTGCATGACAAGCACTTTCACCTGCTGAGCCATCTTGGTGACCCTCTCATCCCCAAGGCTGATCCTTGAATGTGAGCAGTATTCTCTGAAGTAGAAAGACTGATGATGTTTGCCCTGTGTCAGACTTTAGGCAGAAGAACCCTGTCTAAAGCCCACCACCTTTGAATCTGAGGCCATTGTCTCTTGGGTTCTTTTTGCCATCTGTTGCCTTATTTTCTGCATGTCTTTATCCCATTTTGAGCAGTTTTGATTTGATGTTCTCTTTAGTCATCCTGCTATCCATACTTTTAACATTCATATTTAGATATAGAGGGTAGCTCTGGCCAGCAGAGTGTGCCAGATGGGGCTTGTAGGAAACACAGCTGTCCTGGTAGCTTTGGAGGAGTCAGTTTCTGCCCTTTCTCTGCCCTTGTCTCTTTAGCCCGTTTCTCAGGCTTGTGTCAGGCATTGTGCTCACTGACTTCTGTCTGGCCAGGCTTTTACATGTTGCCCTGTCTAGGGACCAGAAAGCACAATGGACCCAGAATAGAACTTCTATCAGAGATAGGAAAAGAGGCCTGTAGCCAACCCACCAAGGTGACGACAGGGAAAGTAGGGACATTTAAGAGCTCTACAGTGGCAGAAACTTCCCAGTTTTGGTGTAGAGTGTGTGCTAGAATTAGTGTTATGGTTTCACATGATTTTGTCAATTGTGTCATTATTTTAGTAGCCAGATCTGATCATTTTTAAATTTATTTATTCTTTCACAATTCTGTACAAAAATACAATTATATATTGTCTTAGTATTCTATTGCTAGGAAGAGACATCATGACCAAAGCAACTCTTATAAAAGAAGGTATTTAGTTGGGGTTTTGCTTACAGTTTCAGAGGTTTAGTCCATTATCATCATGGTGGGAAACATGGTGGCAGGCATGGTTCTGGAGAAGTAGCTGAGAGTTACATCTTGATCTGTAGGAAGCAGGTAGAAAGAGAGAGACACACTAGGCCTGGCATGACCTTTTAAACCTCAAAGCTTACTGCCTCCAACAAGGCCACACCTCCTAATGCTTCCTAACAGTCCTCCAGCTGGGAACCAAGAATACAAAAATGTGAGCTTTGGGGGACCAATTTCATTCAAAACAACACACACACACACACACACACACACACACACACACACACACACACACACACATTCCCCTCTTACTTTTATGCTTCTATTTTGTGGCTTAACTGCATTTAATTGGGAGATCTGATCACTTTATAAACAATTTAAAGTGTGTGAAGACAGATTTTTTTTTATGTCTTATTCATTATTGTATCCCAGGTACCCAGAACGGGATGTGTCCCATAGTTGGCATACAAATAGTTTAATGGGAAAACAATTTGGGCTTTAGCTTCCTAAGGGTACCCATAGAAATGTGTTTTGGGGATCCTGTCTTTACAGCAAATGAGAAATGGAAATAACTGACATAATACGGAAACAAAATTGCCCTCTCTCTACCTGTACTTTGAGCACCCCCCCCCCACACACACATTAAGTTTTTCTAAGTTCTCATAGTCCAACAAAAATATACAGCACAGATTGTCCCTCTTCTTACAGGAAAGTATTTGGAGTTCCTGTTGAATATACAAAGAAGTTGGTTGACTACGTAAATGAGTTAGAGAGGATGGGTTCTCATAGCTTTATTTTTTGTACTTGTATATCACACATGTACACACATGAACATAAGCGCACACCGTTTTCCTTAGAGGTATCTGCCTGGAAGGAGTCTCTGGTTTTAGCCCATTCACACACCAGCTTACATTCAGGTACATAATGCTAGCCTGGGGTCAGCATGGGTGGGTGTGCTTGGCTGCTAAAGCAGGTGTCTGAAATTTTCAGGTCACAATCAGAGGCTCCACAGGCCCTTGATCAGTTGTCTCCTAGCTTGAATACTAGAGAGGCATGAGCAGTGAGTCCTGTTCTTCCTTTGTCCCTGGAGAGTGGTTGTTCCCTTTTCCCAAGCTTTAATCAGAAGCTGTTGATTATACTGCAGACTAGAGCAGACCTTGAATGAGGATAAGAAAATCAAGCCAGTCAATTCACATTAGCTATAATGATACAAGTTGGTATTGCCTCTGGAGCCCTCTTGATGCTACTTTAAATTACCTCTGGAAAAAAATCTGTCTTACAGAAAGGAAGAGGTTTTATCAGAACGTCAGCATCTCACAGGGTGAAGGTGAGTGCCTAAAAATTTGATGACTGCCTTTTTGTGACTGATTGGGTACATTTTTTTTGTCTCCAGTGTGGCATTTTTGTCAGATGTACTTGTGTTTCCCAGTTTGGTTGCTAAAATACAGGAATGGGTCATTCTAATCCACAGTCCCTGAGAATTTTTCATTCGTTCTTTTAAGGTGGATTTGAGATAAACCTGGACCACAGAAAGCTGAAGACTCCCCAAGCCAAGCTTTTTACCGTCCCCAGTGAGGCCCTGGCCATTGCAGTAGCCACTGAATGGGACTCCCAGCAGGATACCATCAAGTTCTACACCATGCACCTGGTAAAAAACAAACTTGTACAAACTAATACCTGGCAAAAATTTAGATTTCCTTCCATATTATGACAAGGCTCTGGGGTAGGCTTGTCTGCCTGGCTGCAGTTACACTGTCACTGAACAGACTGGCTTGGCCACTAACTCCCAGTGTCACCCCATCCCTATTTTTATTTTTATTGTTCTGTTGGTTTTGGTTTTTTGAGACAGGTCTCATGTCTCAGGTAGTCCTTGAACTTGATTTGTAGCTGCAAATGACCTTGAAGTTCTGCCTTTACTACCTGAGTGTTGAGATTACAGGCATGTATCTGCCTGCCCTGTGTATGCAGAGCTGGGGATAGAATCCTATGTTTTATGCATGCTGGGTAAACATGCTGTGTCTTAGCCACATGGCTCATCTTTATTTTTTCTATTTTTTGAGGCAGGGTCTGTTTTTATAGCCCTGGCTTTCCTAGAACTTGCTACATAGACCATTCTGACCTCGGACTCACAAAGAGCTTCCTGTCCCTGCCTCCCAGATGCTGGGATTAAAGATGTGTACTGCCATACTTAAGCTCAACCTTTATTTTTATTTGGTTTTTTGAGACAGGGTTTCTCTGTATTGCTTTGGAGCCTGACCTGGAATTCGCTCTGTAGACCAGGCTGGCTTCAGATTCACAGAGATCCACCTGCCTCTGCCTCCCAAGTGCTAGGATTAAAGGCGTGCGCCACCAACACCCGGCTAAACCTTATTTTTTTATTTTAGCAGCTAGTCACTTGTTTTATCACCACTTAGTCTGTAATGGCCTGTTTTCTATTTACATGTTTATTGCCTGTGTCTTTCATAGTGCAGCGAGTGACAGAAGAGCAGTGGCCATGTTCTTGTTACTCAGTAGTTCAGCAGGAAGTATCGATGGAGCTCAGTAAACACTGGTAGGGTGTGGGAACCAGGCAGCCAGACGGGTGAGGAAAGGAGGGTGCTCCCCAGATTCACCCCCTCAGAGTTGGGTGCTCTGAGGCCCCTGAAGCCCTTCCTCTGCAGCCTACTTGGACTTACATGGGACTACTCAGCCCCATGATGGGCCACCTGTACTACCCACCTTATGGAGCCATGGTCAACCAGATGATACCATGCATGGAGCCCTCATGTGGTTCCAGAGAAGGCACCAGCCACTTCTGGGGTTAGGTGTTCTTATCCTGGTCACTGCTGTGTTTTTGACATACAGACCCAGGTGGGACAGTGTAGTCTACTTCTTGACTGTCTAGTGTAATCAGGTTGATGAGGTCATAATCTGATGCCTAGAGTAGTCTTGGAAGCATCTTATTGATGAGGTAACAAAATACCTTGATCCCAGTTTGATTTGCTGCCTTGTCCTCTGACATGTCAAAATAAGCTAGTAAAGCTTTTCAATCAGTTTGAGTTTCATGCCTTCATTACTGTATTTATGTATTTCACCCCAAATAGGTAGAAGTATTGTTGTTTAGATTAACCTAGTATTCATGAACATAAAAAATATATAAATATAGCCCCTGAAACTTTGAAGAAGTTCACTAATCCAGGACCACTGTGAGTTCAGTGAATCCCATGAGCATAGTGGAGTTTGAACATGGAGCCTGACTTTCAGATCCACCCAGCAAATAGGCTGCTGCTATGGCTATGACGATGGCTCTGGTAGGTGGCTCTGGTGTACTGTCTGCTATTATGTCAAAACCCACATGTGGGTGACAGGATTTTCTGTCTTTCCATTCAGACCACATTGTGCAACACATCCTTGGACAATCCAACCCAGCGAAACAAGGATCAGATGATCCGGGCAGCTGTAAAATTCCTGGACACTGACACCATTTGGTAAGTGACATTAGATGAATAATCCTCTTGGGTGGTATGAGCCTCTTAGTCTGTTTTGCCTCATTTGTTCAAAGCATATCAGTGGAGGAAAAAGTAAGACCTTTGCCATTGCAGGAAGGTAGCTCCCTTGACATGACTGAACCCAGGAGGATTCTCAGTCTGCCTTAGCACAGGGATTCCTTGGACTGTGCCAAGTAGGCATGGAGATGTGTGCCATTCTCATAAGCTCCAAAACCACAGGACCAAGGGCTAGCCTCCAGCAGGGCATCTAGCCCTATAGCTGGTCCTCAGAATGTTCATGTATTGGCATCCATGTAATTACAGGTGGCAATTACCAGTTAGGGACTGGTCTCTCCTAGTTCTGAATTCTCCCCTTGTGTCTATATTCTTTGCTTGTTGGTCAGTGACATCAAAGGAACATTGGAGAAACAGCTGAATGGCTGAGCATTACTGTGCCTGTTGGCCCCATTACTCAGTTTTGAGTCACCCCAGGGATTACTTGGGGCATTAGCATAGGTGCTTTGGAATTGGGTGGGCTCCAGGATCACTTAGAGCTTGAAGTAGGAAAACCTACTCTGTTTTTGCTAGAACACAGCAGCTTGCAAGGAACAGGGCACATTCAGCTTCCCTTTGGCAAAGGCGGCTTTTTGGAAACTGCAGGGTTCTAACAAGCAAAGGCAGTTGCCCCACCCCCACCCTCCCACCCAGGTACCAACTTCTACCTGCCTCCTCCCTTCAGGTCCAGGATTGGATAGGAGGAGAGGCCTCCTGGCCTGCTCTCAGCAGCCCAGCGTTTCTGCATACCCATGCCCCTCTGCTCCCCTCTGCTTACATAAAACTAGCTTTCTGTGGTACCTTAGGGTTCTCATCCATGAGGTTTAGTAGCTTAGCTCCCATCAACTTCCCTTTCTGTATCTTTATCAAAATGAGTTGTACCACCTGGCTCTGTGGTGATGCATTTGGATAAAGGATCCATTTCTGGAGGTGGCTGGGCTCCTGAAGCATCAGCAGGCATTTGGTCCTTGGCCAGGAGCAGAGCTGTCAATGAACTCCTAGCACAGCTCTTGTGTCCCATGGGTATAGATCCCATTAGTATTGCAGATCTGCTTTTGAATAGCACTAACATGGCACAAATTTGGACCAGTCAAGTATTTGGGAGCCAGAGGATAATGGATTGCAACTTAAGCTACACCAAGATTCCCTGGAGGGCATGTGGCCAGCCTCACCCCACAGGTTCTGCTCATCATTAGTGTGGGATTTATCTGAGAAGGTGTCCCAAATGAGGCTAGAGCTTAGGTTGCTGGTTCCCAAGGCTGCACTCTGAGAACCATTGCTTTATGGGACAAGACTTAGGATGCAGGGTTGGTGGTGGGAAGTTTTTGCTGTTACCCTTTGCATTTTCCTTTTCTGTCCCTCAATGAAGAAATTGTACTTTTTTATTAATGAAGGTGGTTTTTACAATGAATTAGCTACAGGGTGGAAGAGCCAGAGACATTAGTGGAGCTTCAAAAGAACGAATGGGATCCAATCATAGAGTGGGCTGAGAAAAGGTAAGATGTGCAGCCCCACATGGAACATTGAATAGACCACGTATTGGGCTGGGTGCTGGGGTCAGGGCCTCACAGCACACCTGAAATCTCAGGCTAGCTTCCTGAGCCAGACCTTCTGTGAGTTTGGGCTCCCTCAGGTGTTGAGAGGTAGGGGTTACCTTGGAAATTCCTCAAATTCATTTTAGCCATCATGCCTCAAATACCTGCTACTATAGTATACCTTGACAAATGTAGGGGCAGCTTTGTGTCCCCAAGAAGCACCAAAGGCACCAGGCCTCTATTCCCCGAGCAGGTATCTGAGTGTTGGTTTCCTTGACTTGAGATGGACTAATCCTGCCTGCTTGCCAACCAGGCTGGTGGGAGGAATAATAAGCTAGCATAGTGTTTAGCATTCTGTGTAGCAGAGGTAACAACTCAGATTTTGACTTTTTGTTTTTCAAGACAGGGTTTATATATGTAACAGCCCTGGCTGTCCTGGAACTCACTGAGATCTGCCTGCCCTCTGCCTCCCAAGTGCTGGGATTAAAGGCATATGCCACCACTGCCTGGCTTTTCTTTTTTTTAAAAAACTCATTATTGTTAAGTAAAAGTCAGTGTATAAGATACACATGTACATGAACAAAGGTCTGGATAGCTTCCTGCAATGTTGTGAATATTGCCTTGCAGACGTGTGGTTTCTAGGGATGGATGATACTCAACAGTTTCCTTAACAGAAGATTCTTGTGAGTATAGAATTGAACAGATACTGATAAGGTGCCAAAATAAATTCGGTGTCAGTTCTTTCCAAGTGAAATGTGGAAGGGATGGATCCATGGCACTGCCTTGTCTGCAGGTTTTTATAACAAATGCCTAGATGGTTTTTCTTCTATCATAACAATTTTCACATACATTATTACTTGCTACATATCTCCTAAGTGCTCACAATGATCCAGGCATCTTGATGGGGCTATTTTTGTTTGTTTGTTTTGTATTTTTGAGATAGAGTCTCTTGTAGTCCAGGTAGCCTCAAACCCACTGGCCTTTTGCTCCTGATCCTCCTGCCTCTGGTTTCTGAGTGCCATGATTACAGGTGTGCACTTCCATGTACTGCCACCCTGGGATTTTAAAGGAAAAGCACATATGCATATCCAGGGTTTGTTTTTTTTGTTTGTTTGTTTGTTTGTTTTGCTTCTGGCCAAAAGCTGAACTTCTTTTGAGAGGCAGAGTGCCAAAGACATGCTGATGCCATTTCCCTTTAGATATGGCGTGGAGATCGGCTCCTCTACCAGCATAATGGGACCCAGCATACCTACCCAGACCCGAGAGGTGCTTACCAGCCACTTGTCCTCTTACAACATGTGGGCCCTACAAGGTACAAATTGGGTGGGCCTTGAGGGTTGGGTACATATTGACACATCCCTGCTGAGTGCTCTGAGCATGGAGGCTGGGTAGCTCTGGTGCCCAACCCTTTTACTTAGCACTCCACTGTCATATATCATCCAGGAAAAGTCTCAGCTTGGTGTATCATTAGTTTGGGCCCATATACCCATCTGTAAACCAATCACTAAGTAAGGCTTGGGGCCTGTTATAATTGACCAGGTTCAGGTCACATGCCTTTCCAGGAAAAAGAGAGGTGAGTCACCCCAAGAAAAGGGATAGTATCCTTGCAGTAGAGTTCGCCAAGCCTCAGGTGGGTCCTAGGATGGTGCACCCTCCCTCCATTCCATGAGAGCACAGAAACTGCAGGCAGTGGCTGTAGTACTAACTTGGCTTGGGTCCTCCACTCCCCAGGGATTGAGTTTGTAGTGGCCCAGCTCAAGTCCATGGTGCTGACCTTGGGCCTGATTGACCGGCGCCTGGCTGTGGAGCAGGCTGTGCTTCTGTCGCGCCTGGAGGAGGAGTACCAGGTAAGGCTCTTATCTCAGCCCCACCTCGCCCCTTTCTGAGTCTCGGGCTCACTGAGCTTTATTACTTTGTACATAAAAAAATCAAACTAAGGAACAGTAAAGGTTTAAGTGTTGCTGGGATCTAGGGGTATGGTTCCGTGCTAGAGCACTAGCCTGGTGTGCTCTGGGCCCTAAGTTCCATCATCAGCACCACATACATATGCCCATGAGTAGGAAGGTCTAAAATCGTTCAACACTCTCCTTGCCCCCAGGTCTTCTTCAACAGCTTGACTGGGTAGGAGTTGTACTTACCCATATCTTACAGGGTTAGGGTTAGGGATAAATTAACCCTACATATTCAGACAGAAGCCACAGGTGTCCGTCCATAACACAAGCCTTAGAGGCTCTACCTGACAGCCTTACATAAGAACAAACTGGGGTACTAGATTGCACTTCTGGAGAATGTTCCACTGGAGTTTGCACCCATGTCTGGGTGACTAGGGCTAAGGCCTCCTCAGGCTCATGGACAGGTAAGGTATTTGGGCCTCATCTGCCCTGCATTTGTGCTCCCAAGTCAATAGGAGTTCACTTCCTGATGTTTCTCCTAGCTGGCAGAGGAGCTAAGGAGTAGCTGCTGCTCACACACACATTTGTTTTTTGGGGGTTGGAGGGGGGCACTTCAGACCTGACTGGTCTGAAACTAACTGTAGACTAGCCTGGCCTGGCCTGGGACATAGGAAGATGCTTTTGTTTTTGCCTCCTGAATGCTGAAATCACAAATGTGTGCCACTGTGCCTGGCTTCTCTCTCTCTCTTCCTCTCTCTCTCTCTCTCTGTCTCTCTCTCTCTCTCTTCCCTCTCTCTGTGTGTGTGTGTTCACATTTGTGTAGGTGCATATGGATACATATGTGCACATTCTGGTGGAAGTTGACATGAAGTATCTTCCTCAATTATTCTCTACCTTTATGTTGAGGCAGGGTCTCTTGCTTGAACCCAGGGTTCACCAGTTTGGCTACTGTACTTAACCATTTACTCTAGAGAATCCCTGTCTCTGCCTCTGGAGAGCCAGGATTGCAGGTGGGCTGCCCCACACACTTGGCTTTTATGTGGGTGCTGGGATCTGAACTCAGATCGTCATCCTTTTGCATCAGGCACTGAGCCGTCTCCCCAGCCCCTTTGCATCTTTAACACTGAGAACTTAGTGTTCCTTGTGGTCCTGTGGTTGTTGCTATTACTCCAACCTCAGAAAGTTAAAGCTATTAGGAGTTGGTTCCTATATGATTAAAAACCTTTTTTGGGATATTTAATCTTATGCTTGGAAAAGTGCCAGAGGAAATCATTTCTGTACAGCAGAGGAGAGCTATCCATTGATGTCAGCCATTCCATGGAAAGGGCTGATGTCAGCTCTTAGTTAGGATCATGGGGCTCGTACAAGACCAGGGAATATGGTTGCTAGCTTGGACTCTGCTTTTTGCTATGGGATCCAAGCCAGATTATCTTCTGAAGTTTGGATTTGATCACACACAAAATGAGGGATGACCTGAAATGAAGGTGAAAATTATCTCAGATGATGTATTTCAGTTGTTCAAACCAAGACCAGGCAGCTAGTAATGCAGGTAGCTAGTGTGACCTGAAAGATTTTGTATTCTTGGGTGATCTGGCCAGTTTGGAGGTGCTCATGTCTGGATAGCCATGGTGTGCCCAGAGCTCCTCCCTCTTAAGAGTTTTGAGAGAGTCTACAGCTGGCTTCCAGCATGCTGCATGGAGTCTGTTCTGCTGCTCCTCAGTGGTCCCAACTAAATTGCCTGTAACCTGGCTTCATTTATTTACTGCACTCCCATGATAGTGCTTATAGCACTGAAAGACAATGAGATACAACTCATAGAAGATGGGAGTTTGCAGGTTTTTTTCATGCTGGCTTCCTGGTCTTAAGTGTGAGATAAAGGGTCACATGGGTAAAGCTCCATTAGAGGAGACACAGTGGGATTCCAGTGCCTGCCTATTTGGCAGAGGGCAGTCCCTTGCTGAGATACAGACTATCTACGCCCCAGACAGCAAAGGAGCTTACTCCAGCTTCCTGGAGTCTTATGTGTTTGGTAGGATCATGGCTCACGCCCCTTAGCCCAGGGATGGGAATGGAATGTGATTCAGGTTACCAGGCAAGGCTACTCACCCAGAAGCTTGTTTTTCCCTCTCCTTAGATCCAGAAGTGGGGCAACATTGAGTGGGCCCACGACTATGAGCTCCAGGAGCTACGGGCTCGCACTGCTGCTGGTACCCTTTTTGTCCACCTCTGCTCGGAAAGCTCTACTGTCAAGCACAAGCTCCTACAAAAGTGAGGCCTGGGTTGCAAATGCCGGCTGAAAGGAACTGCACAGACACAGGATCTCTGATCTGGGCTTCCCTGGCTGTTGGATCTTTGGACCCAGTGAAGCTCCGTTGGCCTCTACCTATGATGCTGTACTTGTGGAGTGCCCAGTGTGTGCCTGGGTCTTCCCTGGCCTTTGTGGCTTGGCTTTATCCAGAAGCACCCTGTAATGCCCTAGAGACACATTTATGCCCATCCTGAGGTCAGACAGCTTCTGACCCAGGTGCCTTTGGCCTGGCCAGCAATGAAGGAGGCAAAGAGACTTTGTCTCGACCCTGATTTTATTAAATATTCTTTCATTCTGGAAATATATCAAACCTCATTTTCATCTGAGTCTGAGCATTTCTCCATTCTTGTTTTATCTAAGCTCTGTCACCATTTTTACATCTACCAATGGCTGGAAACCTCATGGCAAGAAGGGGGCAGGAAACAAGCACATCACCACACACAATCCCTTTTCATCTTCAGCCCTCAGCCCGAAGGCCTTTGTGTCCTTCCCGGTGTCCCGGTCTGTCCCGTCTACCCCCCCCCCCCCCCCGGGCCTTTCATTGGATGATCTTTTGAAAGTAAGTCTTTAGTCTAAGCTGCTTGGTTGCTGTTTGTTCTATTCTCTAAAAAAAAAGAAAAAGAGAAAAAGAAAAAAGATTTACTCTAAAAATATAAGTTGTTTCAGGAATGAACACAAAGGTGGTCCTGTCCTGGTTACTTACATGCAGTGCTGTGATGTCTGGGGTGTTCTCCTATTGTGAAATTATGTCCTGTGGGTATGGCATGGTCATTGCATTCTTAAAATCAGGGCAGCTGTAATACCCACACAGGATTGGGCTCATTGCTATCCCTCATGGATGATGAGAGAATTCATCTACTAATTAAGTAGTTAACAATAGCTAGAATAACCCTAATATTCTCATTGGTTCTTCAAGCTAGACTGGGTGGAATTGCTTCTTTGGTTTGTCATTACCTAGGTGAGTGGCTGACTCCTCTGAAAGTCACATATACTTGGTGCCTGAGTAAGGCCATGACAGAACCAAATATGAGCCCTGAGCCATCTGAGGGTGGAGAACAGTCCCTGTGTGGCAGACTTCACCTATATGGTATGTAATAGTTCTTGCTGTTGTGGCAGTTTGTGACCCCTACTCTGGGTGATAAGACCTCAGCTGAGGCTGAGACATCTGAAGGTAGAGGCTCCTTGTGATGGGGTAATTACAGGATGGCCAGGGGATGACAGCGGCATGCCTCCTCCATGAGTGGGATCTTAGAGTACAGGGGATGCCCTCAAATGGCTGATGGACTTGAGAACATATTACAGTCGCTGAAAGTAGTACCTATGTGAGGACTCCTAAGCAGACTATGATAGCAGTTACACGTTTTTACTGAGACATGTGACTGAGGCTGAGCTGACTAACTACATAAGGAAGAACTCACAGTGGGAAGGAAGGTGCCAGTACTGTCTTCTGCATCAGCCTCAGGGAAAGTAGAAGAGAGAGGGCTGAGAATGAAGCAGAAGTGACTGGAGATGCCTGCAGATCCAGCCAATCAGAGTAAAGGAAGCGGGAAATCCTTAGTGGTCCAGTGCAGGGAACTGTTACAGTCAGGGGGTACTCTCACTTTTTTTAACCAGAAAAGCAATATCCCTAGAACAGATTATAAGTAGCAAACAGTAAAAACAGTGAGATATCCAAGGGTCAGATTCTGAGGACACTTTATGCCAGATTAAGGAGCTCGGAACTTATTTATATGCACCAAACTCTTATTAGATTTATATTGAATAATGAAAACTAATGAAACAAAAGGCATCAAATCAAAGTAAAAATGAAACTTGATGGAGTAGTTAAATGTGTAGAAATGCACAAAACATAATACCCTGACATTTTCAGAAGCATTACTAATCAGGAGAAAGATATACTTCTGGAAGTAAACTTCAACAGTAATTCCTAACAGAACATACAAGGAATTTAAATTTTCTTATAAACAGCTTTTGTTTTGTTTATTTGCTTGCTCACTTGGTTTTTTGTTTTGATTTTTTTTTTTTCTTTTGAGTTCCTGGAACTCACTCCATAGACCAGGCTGGCCTCAAACTCACAGAAATCCTCCTGCCTCTGCCTCCCAAATGCTGGGATTAAAGGGATGCACCACCACTGCCCAGGTGTTTGTTTTTTAAGATAGTGTCTCACCTTATAGTCCAGGCTAGTCTGGATCCATGTAGCTCAGACTGGCCTCAAACTTTTATCAGTTGTCCTGCCTCAGCCTCCTAAATGTTGGGATTTCAGGCATGTGCCACCATACCTAGCAATACTGTCTTTGAACTGCTTGAATTGGGGAAATTTTTTAAATTTAATTTTATGTGTATGTATATTCTGTCTGTATGTCTGTGCACCATGTACATGCAGTGCATGCAAAGGCCAGAAGAGGGTGTTGGATCCCCTGGAATGGATTTAGAGACAATTGTGAGCTGCCATATTGATGCTAGGGATTGAACCCTGGTTCTCTGAAAGAGCAAATAAATGCTCTTAACCACTGAGCCATCTCTCTAGTTATGGGAAAAACTTTTTATAAAGTGTCTTATAGCCTGGTTTATGAGGCTATGAGATGGGACACATGGGTTCAGTGTGAGTGCTTTGGAAACAGAAACTGAATAATGGAACTGTTCATCCCTCCTTGAGAGCAAGGTTGCTTAACTTAAGGGAAGTCAGTCCCCATGAGTACCAGGAGCTGAAGGACAGCTGAGGAGACTAGGTGTGAGAAAGGTGAGTTGACAGCTAGTCCCTCAGATCTGAGAGCTGTGTGTGCAGAAGTTAAGGGAGCAGTTAATTCTGCTGGGGTCTCTGGTGTGGGACTTTTGCTTTGCTGACCCCCATGGTGGGACATGAGGAGAGGGTCTGGCAGAGCTCTCTGATTTGAACTAGGCTGTAAATCAAGCATTGAGGGTGAGAGAAAAAGAAAAGCAGACAAGGGCCTGCCCACCTCAGTCAAAAGCAAACATTGCTAGTGTGATGGCTATTCTTGGTTGTCAGCTTGACTATATTTGGAAATAACTAAAACCCAAATGAACACACACATCTGCATTTTTTCTTTTTCCTTTTTCCCCCCTTTTTTGGGGGGGTAGTTTTGAAGTATAGCCTTGCTGTCCTGGAACTCACTCTGTAGTCCAGGCTGGCCTCCAACTCACAGTGATCCCTGCCTTTGCCTCCTGAGTGCTGAGATTAAAGGTGTATGCCACCATTTGTGGTAGAATTTCCATTTCTAATCTGGATCTTTGAGGTGGGAAGATCCACCTTTAATGTAGACCACACCTTCTGCTGGAAGCCTGTATAAAGGACATGGAAGAAGGAAGCTCTCTCTCAGTCTGTCTCTGTCTCCTCTCTCTCCCCTCCTCCCCCCCCACCCTCCACCCCCTCCTCCCCCGCTTTCTTTCTCTGGCATTAGAACCTACTTCTTTGGGATTCCAGAAAATACTGAAGACAGTTGAGACATCCAGCCTCGTGTACTGGATTCCTAGACCTTTCAGTGTTAGAGAACAATTGTTGTTTTAGCTGGACCACAGCATATAAGCCATTCTAATAAATCATATATATATATATATATATATATATATATATATATATATATATATATATATAGAGAGAGAGAGAGAGAGAGAGAATCTGATTAATAAATACAGCAAGATTCCTTCCAAGGTAGAGCTTTTAGTAAAAACTCTCAAGTCTCTAAAAGACATTAAAGCTTGAGCAACACCTCTCAGGAGATATGGCTGGGCAGCAGAGATTTGAAGAAAAAAAAAAAAGGTTACACTTGTCCCCCTACTCCTACTCCTAGAGTAAGCTGTATACATTTCTTTTCTACAAGAAAGCATATTAGATATGGAGATATTTGCCCTACCTTTGAGTATCCAGGTGTGGCTAAGGAGCGGGAGAGCCACAGATGTGTTGGCTAAAACCTTATTAACCTGGGGAGCCAAATTGAGAGGTTGGTATAATAGAGGAGCATGGCCCCGCTTCCCTTGGCCCACTGAGCTCACTAGTTTGGAGAGATGTGTGTTGGGCCCAGGATGAGGAGACATGAAGGCTTACAGAGAGCATCTGGATGGCAGAGAGCTAAATAACACAGTGTCTCCCACCACACCACTGTATAACCTTGCTCCTTTGAGGAATTTACATAAACAGCAGACCTTTTCATGTTCTTTTGGACCTAATAAATTTCTTAGTGTCCTTAGCTGCTGAATCCCTAGTCCAGTTGACACTTGTTTGGAACAGATGCTGGTGGGCCTTCAGAGAACCTGCCCACTCTGTAAAAAGGATCCATCACACAATGTTAATTTCTGAGAGGTCTTCAGATTTAGGAATGTATCCAAAGGGCATGCAAATGTCTTCAAAGGAGCAAGGATGGGAAATCAGCCCACACAGGGGCCAGGCTACAACTGAACATCTTGAAGAATTTTGTGGTTAGGTAAGACACAAAGTGATTGAGAAATTCCTACAGCAGCCAGTGTCTTAAACAGGTGTCAGCAAGCATGGTACATGCCTTTAATCCCAGCACTTGGAAAACAGGCAAGCAGATCACTGAGGCCTGGTCTACAGAGCTAGGGCTACTACCCAGTCTCAAAAAAGGCAAAAATAACAACAAAAACCATGAGTGTCAACTCAGAAGCCATCTGCATGAGTAGGAAAACTCCAGTGCCAGGGGCTGCCTCCCTGAGGTGTTGGTGAGGAGGTTCCTTAGGTACACACAGTATAGAGAGTTCCCACTGCTGTTGGTTGCAGGCCACAACTGCAGGCTCTTCCCTACTGGTGTGCTGGTAGGTGGGAGAATGCTGTGCAGACTGCATGAGGAGAATTCTTACCAATGGTCCTGCTCAGATGTGAACTTCATGCGTTACACTATCAGCATGTTGTGCAAGATTCAGCCACTGGTGCAATGATGGCATGATACATGGGTACAAAAGAGCCATGGTCCATGTGGATTTAAGACCCATTCCACAGTGGGGACCCATGCCAGACTCAAAATCTGTGGCAGAGGAGGGCATAGGTTTTAATGGAGAAGCTTTTGCTGTCTTGAATATGATTTACTGTCAGATTGTGTGTGCCCCTTCCACCTTGCTTGCTTGCTTTTGCTTCCTACCCACCCTCCTTTTCTTTTTCTCCACCCCAGGCTTGTCTTCATTATATGGCTGAAGGTGACCTGGGATTACAGGTGTGTGCCCTGATCTGATTCTCAAATTGGTTTTCACTACCTATGCTTATGCCCAGAGATTTTTTGCTGTGGTTGGCCTTCATTAACAATGTTTTTCATATTAAAGAATGGTGGTTGTTACAGAGACACAACTGAGCAACTGG